TTTAACTCCTCGATCGCGTAAAAGTTAACTCGAATTTGTATAGAGCTGGAACAGCGCCCCTAGCGGCAAACGTAGAAAGCAGAACACTTGCACTAAGCACTGAGGAAAAGTACTAGCTAACTTCGTTAAATAAGTTGAGTTAGTGCGCTCCGTCTTTTTTGCAGTTGATCATTAGTGAGAAGGATATAGAAATATTTTGGACATAGAAGCCGAGTGAAACGACAAGTATTTATTGCTTAGGTTTAGCTGCTGCTTAAATATTGATATTTCCGGTAATCAACTATTCTTTCAGGATACCGGGTTCAATGAACGATCTAAAACTTTATATATTGTGTACACGTGTCAAATCAAGAGGTTAACCTATTTAACCTTCAGGAAAATTTAAACTAACAAAATATTCACTGACTGACTCGATGGTGCATATAGTTAGCGCTCCTGACTATTGCGCCGAGGGTCATGGGTTCGATTCCCACATCGGGAAAACATCCGTGTGATGAACAGGCTTGTTTGCTCTTTATCTGGGCGCTTATTATCTATGTATATTTAAACGTATACATAAAGTATATAAGTACGTACATAAAGTCAGTCTTTAGTACCCTCTCCTCCTCCTCCTTGCGTCGATAATCCTCAGTGTTGAGGGTCGTGGCCTCCTCTAATAACTTTCTCCTGCATTATCTTGCGCCATTCCTGCCTGTCCTCGGCTGTGTGGATAGCAACGTGGACTGAGGTATTGAGAGTGGAGCGTATTTGGTCCGAGCAGCGCATTGGATTTCTGCCATTTTAGTACCCATAACACAGGAAATCCTAAATTGGAGCCGGATAACCGGGCGTGATTTATTCATAGTTGTAATTTAAGTTATAGAATTCAACAACGAGGAAGATCTTGAATTTTTATTGAATGCGCAATAATCTATTACTGGCGGACGACCGACGTACCATAGATGATTTGTATGGGCAATAGACAAGAGTTATACTGATGCTGTCTACCCGACATTCATAATTTCCCATAGAAACAACCCAGTAAGTTTCTCGCCGGATCTTGTCAGTGGGTCGGGAAAGCGAACAAAGAAATCAACTACTACCCTCAACGCACGTCCTCGCCGCCACAGTCAGGAGCGCTAACTGCACCACAGAGTCAATAAACACTATTATTTAGCTTAAGTGTCCGGATGAGAAAAGAGGGGGTTGGTAACGGTATGTCACCATAGAATAACGCGGAGGAACAGGCAGCAGTCAACTAACACGCAAATAACGCTACAACGCGCTTCCTATAACGCGGAGCCAATCTAATGTCTAATAGGGGGATTACTTACTGTAGTTTGTCGGTGAGTCGCAGAGTGAAAAAAGTCTGGAATCATTGCCAGTACTATTTAAGGACCGTTCATACATTCGTGGTTCATCATCCTTTGATACAGTTTATTTAGATCTGGTGGGCCCATTGGTTGGTGACAGTAATTATAAATATATTTTAACGCTTCAATGCGATCTAACCAAATACGTAGAGGCGTATCCAATAACATCAAAAGACACACTCAGCGTAGCAACAGCATTTGTAAATAATTTCGTACTTCGATACGGAATTCCGCGCGAAATTGTTACCGATAGGGGCACAGAATTTGTCAATTCCCTATTAGCAGTAATAGGTAATATACTAAAAGTCAGTCATTTACAATCTACAGCATTTCATCACCAAACATTGGGTTCTATTGAAAATTCGCCCAAACATTTGGCATTTTATTTAAGAATGCAGGTCAATAGTCAAACTCAGGAATGGAGTTCATGGTTATAGCCCAAGAGCCCGTGGGCTCTACCTGTATGTATTTGACCAGACCTGAATTTTCATACATTGAGACCCCTATACCTACCATGCATGAGGTGGGGACTCACTAAGCTCAAAGTGGTCGACGCGACATTCCGTACACACATCAACATATAATAAAATCTTAGCTACTATAAGATAATAGTCGACTCATATGTTGTCCTGCTCAATCCAACCATACTGCAATGGGTCTAAAGTTGTGGGTTGCTTTTTGTAAGCATTTCTCCAAATAGAAGAAATATAGTGGGCCCTCAAAAGTTGTTGATAAAGCTCACTCTTACGCGGTGGTATTGAGCTTGCCTTAAAAATTTGAATTTTTTTTCTATAATTTTCATTGATGTCTGAATATTTATAGTTGCTAACGAATAGCTGGAACCTTTCATAATCTACATCACTAGATTTTTTGGCATTGTATAGCTGGCAAATTAAATGTTGAATGATAAAAATGAGGAATTGAATTATTTTTTGATCAGTATTATACCGTATTATTTATAATTATTCCATAAAAAATTCACTTCTTTATTGTCTAACTAATGAAGTTTAGTATATAGAATATAAAAAAATATTAATTTCGGTAAATACATTGCTAAAGTAAATCGCAAGTAAATTATATTCCTCTAAAACAGTGAACGGAAAACATAATATACATCTGGCCGGGTAGTAGCTAAGATTTTATTATATGTTGATGTATGTACGCAATGTAGAGGTCTGCCGTGATCAATATAAGTTTTTAAGACTATAATAAACAACATATTATTAAATCAATGGCAGATCTAGTCAATTACTTTCAAAATTTTGCATTTTCAATGCAATTTAGCATTTTCAAAGTGGTCTGCCACAAAGTAAAATGCGCGATAATGGTCTGCCATTCTTATTTTCCGATAATAATAATCATATATTTTCAAAATTTCAAAACGGCAGACGTGGTCAAATGGATTTAAAATCCGTCAAAATCGGTACCTGTCCTACCTGAGCGCTCGGCGCGTCGACCACTTTGAGCTTAGTGAGTCCCCACCTCATGCATGGTAGGTATAGGGGTCTCAATGTACGAAAATTCAGGTCTGGTCAAATACATACAGGTAGAGCCCACGGGCTCTTGGGCTATTACCTTATTGGTGTTTTTCATACAACACGAATATACACTCGGAAACAAAATTTACTCCTTATGAACTTGTATTCGGAAAGTCATGCAATTTACCGAGTAACCTCACTTCTAAGTATGATTTATTACTGCTCTCCTAATAAAACGATACATGTTTATATAAGAGCTTACTTACTACGTCACAATATCATTACTTACCCACAGACACAGCCCACCACGTGCGTCCCGATTCCGATCCGCCGGTAGATTCTGCAAAGCATTGCTCTTGCTAGGGTTAGTATTAGCAACGTCGTCAGGTTTGAGCCCCGTGACCTCACCTATTCGCTCGGTTACGCTGGCATAGACTCTCAAGGCTAACTAACAGCTTAGGTAGGAAAAAACACACTATATCAATAACACGTTGACTGCCATGTAGGTCACCGGTGCCCTACGCGGCGCAGTGAAATAATTATATCGATTTCTCTGTTCGATCTTCTTACTAAGGCGCCGGAATATCTAGTAGACTCTAGGAAAGACGAATCCGAAGACACTGAGAAAGAATCTGTTTTTAAGTGACCTAAAAGACTAAAACATACATTAAAAACAAAAGAAGGCAAAGGTTAGACGCTCAGTAGTAGAAATCGACATCATTATTTCAGTGCGACACGTAGGGCACCGGTGACCTACATGGCGGTCAACGTGTTAAAACAATTGGTACCTGCAACGCGATTTAAAAACCGGCATAGCATCACACAATGCAATTACACCTTATTCCTTTGACCGCGGCGATTACGGATCTTGATTCCCTGATTTCTAACACATTTGGAGTGTTTTTATTTTGAAGCCTAGTGTTTACGCATCAACCCCTCTTTTGTGAAGTGGGTTAAAATTTTTTTTTCCTACCTAATCTGATAGCCTTGAGAGACTAAGTCGGCGTAACCTAACAAGTAGGTGAGCTCACGGGGCTCAAACCTGACGACGTTGCTAACACTGACCCTAGCAAGACCAGTGCTTCGCAGAATCTACCACCGGATCGGAAACGCGACTTAGTGAGAAGATCCGACGAGAAACTCAGTGGGCTCTGTCTGTGGGTTAATTTACTCGCCGAGCTCTTCGTCGTAATCGACGGGTTCGACGAGAACGATGACCGGTGTGAGTTAAGATGGAGCGGGAGGGCGATATGGAACGGCGCTAGCTCCGCGTCGAGTAAAATTCGAAACTATCTTCACTTGTCAACGTGACTTCTACACTGAAGTATGAAACCGACTTCTAGCGACAACGACGCGCGATCTATATACTATTTTTCTTTCGAATTGAAAAACATAAGCATTTGATGGTATTTCATATCGTAAGGGGATTAGTTAAGAATTACCCAAAATCAGGACGGAGATACACCGCAGTAATCGCAGTCATCATCACTAGTATATAGACAATATTAAATAAATCACCAAGACCAAACTTCTATCCTCCCATTAGTCCTATAATAATATAGTCCTTAACGGTAGGCAGCAGCTTGGCTCTGCCCCTGGCATTGCTGAAGTCCATGGGCGACGACAACCACTCGCCATCAGGTGGACCGTATGCTCGTCTGCCCACAAGGGCAATAAAAATGAAAAAAACGTTATATCCGATATAATATTCTCATATTATGCCCATATCATCATCACATTTCGTTTTAAAATCTTTAATTAAATAGAAATTATACAAGCACCAGATAGTGGTTGAAACACTAGACCAGCTATGGCACTACACGTAAAATTTTATTACTCAATATGTATTTGAAAAATCTTCACAGTTCCACTTGAGGTTAATTTTGAAATAACATGCTCTTATCAGTGTACGGCTTAATTTGCTTTTTACAAAAAAAATATCTAATGTGTATTTGTTTGATGCTTGACCACTTTTTTAATTATTTTAATCAATCTTAAATCAAAATGTGAAATGAATGACAAATTGGATTTTTATTGATAATTTTCAGTTTCCAATATGAAGGTAAATTTGAATACACTTCACATCTTTTCAAAACTCGAGATTCATTATAAATAAATACAATATACCAAGATTGTGTAATTTTGGGTTAGAGGCACTGAAACAACATAATGTATTTTCATGTAAATTTCTTCAATATATAGGCACAGAAGTTATATTTTACAATAGCAATTATCAGTTCATTTGTAACCTATAATTCATGGATGTACTTTAACAAGTAAATGAGAAAATTAAAATAACATAAGAGTGAGATGTTATCAACTAATTATCGATAATACATTTGTATACCCGGTAACAGACCATTTATCTATATATTATCGTGCAGCTACCGTTCCCGAAAACGAAGGCAGCTGGCGGTCCTTGTGCATTAATGATTCTGATAACCTCACAGCTGGTATTTCACTATAATACAAAACTCGCTTGTTATTCAAGTTCCTGAAGCATCACAACCTTCAGTAAGGAATGACACTAACAACTCTATGAGTTTGAAGATGTAATTGTATAATAGGTATCCAACAATTCAAACTAAAATGTGTGGCTACTTCACAGTATAATTAGTCAGAATTGCCGTAACTGCTTAAGGGTGCTCATATTGTGCCACAGTAAAATACATTCATTGTGAGTTCAATGGGGCAAAATGAGTTCGTGCTAAAACAATGTACACCAACCAAGTCATGGTGAACAAATCCAAGAAGAAGTGGGTTCATGAAACAATCCAGAGTTTCTATTCTCTGAGTAGCTGCATATTGATGCTTGCCTCGTTTTTGGGAATGGGCCCTTACACCCTGTACTTAACAATTCATAATTGAACTAGACACAATATGTTTTCTTCAATCATAATCTCCTGTGAATCCTGTTCACGTGGCTCTGCAACGACTCAGCTGCTTTAAATTTAACTGAGCAAACCCGACATTCAAACATAACACTCTGATCACAATGTTTGTTCCTCATGTGTTTTGCGAGGCCGTCTTTGCTCGTGAACTTCTTCTGACAATGTATGCAAGAGTTCTCCGCAAGCTGCTGCTTGAGTTTCAGATGTCTTCGCAGACAGTATCGCGACTTAAATGTGATGGCGCAACTGTCGCATTTAGACTTACTTTTTATTTGGTGGTGAGTTTGACAGTGTAGGTCCAGATTGCTCTTCTTGTTGAAGACTATCTGGCACTCGTTACATTCGAAGGTGGCCGTTTTCTGTTGTATTTCGTGATTTGATGTCATGTGACGGAAGAGCTGCGAATTCTGCGTGAATTTCAAACGACAATACTGGCAGGTATAAATATAATGTTTTTCGTCGATTTCTTCGTTCTTTCTCGTTCTTGGACGAGTTATGCGTATTCTGGGACCAGTACGTGGTTTCTTATTCATTATGAAGAGTTTATTTATATTTGTTTGTCAGTAAGATGACTGCATTTTGTTATTACAACACGTAGGCACTGTTGTATTGATTGTCACAATAAGTTCGCGTTGATGGTATAACGTTTCTTTACTATTTTATTTAAACGAAATATTAAAGTATTACACGCGATAACTGTGTGTTTGTTTACGATTTTGAATGTTTGTTTTCTGTCATGAAATTGATGAAACTTGCCAAAATTAATTTAAACGTTTTTTTTAATTTCTGTAACTGTCAAAATACACAGCGGGTTTATACCTACGTTTGCCCAATGCCAATGATGATGTTTACAAAGTTCAATAACCGTACTTTCACTTCTTGTTGAAAATATTTGAATAACAATAATAAAACTTTGACAAAGATAACAATGAATAACTAGAGGTTACCTAATGCATATATTTTTAAAGTCTATAAAATCATTTAAATAAATTTAGAGTTTCTTTTCAAAGATCCAGTTTCTATTAATTAAAACGTTTACATTTTTTTTTTTTTAATTTTACCTGGGAATTACTTAAATACTGCGTAATTTGAACCGTTTTCAACGTTTTTACTCTAAATCCACACGAAATTATATTTGATAGACGAAGCCAACTTAAATGTAAGGTAGTATAATATGTACCTATCATCTTTAACGACCAGGCAGAGTCATGCTATCAAGGTAATGTTTACTGTTTGTGTTTTTGTTTGCTTGGACATAATAAAACATATAATAATATCATGCAACAATTTAATGAAAACAATTTCCTTTCATGTTTTCCCATTACTTTATAGCAAACCCAAAACAACTGTGTTGTGGAAACGTTCTAAGTTTGACTCTCGTACGACAGACACGATATAAAAAATATGAACTATACGAATGATCAGCACTCTTGAATAGAGCCATTTTTATGAAACTAGCTATTTAGGACAATCATGCCTCTGTGATGTGACAAAAAAAAATTAAATATCTAAAATGAGCTGTACTAGACCCAGGATAGTAGGCTAGCAGATCATTTCTGGAAGTAATGTTTCATATTACATTTGATATTAGTAGTATAACGAATATTTTTGATATCGGTGATTTGGCTATAGCGGCCAATGTGGAGCCTACCTACTTTTGGAAGCACATTATATTGTTTGTAAATTATTGGCCTTAAGTGAATACTAGACTAAATTATTTTATGAGTACTTATTATCGTGGAGAAAGAAAGCAGCACGTTATAGACGCACTCAACTGCCTTCAACAAGAAGCCTCTCGGATTGGCCTTCGCGTGAGCCACGAGAAGACAGAATATCTTCACATGCGTCGATATAAAAACATAAGACGGAAGCGAGAAGACCTAGTGGTGGGAAATACGAGGTTCAAAGGAGTGGCTAAATTCCGGTACCTTGGCTGCACTGTAACAGACACCAATGACAGGGAAGATGAAATCGAAATTCGTATACAAAATACCCTACGATGCAGTGCAGCCCTACACCCGGTTCTCTCTTCGAAGCTACTAAGCAGGCGCACCAAGATTCGGATATACAAGACTCTAGTCAGACCGATCCTATTGTATGGATGCGAAGCATGGACGCTCACACAGAAAGAAGAGGCAAAACTTCTCGTGACGGAGCGAAAGGTATTGAGAAAAATACTAGGACCAGTTCGGAAAGAAGACGGTTCTTGGCACGTCCGGAAAAATAAGGATGTGGAGAGGCTTTTTGGTGAGCCAAATATTCTGGGGGAGATGAAGGCACGGAGGCTCGGATGGCTCGGACATGTAGTACGTATGGAGCAGGATCGGGCTGTGAAACGGGTGTACACGGGTGTACCGGAGGGACGCCGCCCCGTAGGGAGGCCCAAGTACCGCTGGTGTGACGCTGTGGAAGGAAATTTACGGGAGCTCCAAGTGTCGGACTGGCAAGGTGTTGCGCAGCGCCGGGATGAATGGCAAAGTTTATTGTCGGAGGCCAAGACCCACTTCGGGGTCATAGCGCCAGCTCAGTAGTAGTAGTAGTACTTATTATCGTACGATTGACCACAAAATTACTAGTAAAATTAGATCACTCGTGGGTGATTAACATGATACTTATATATGTAAATTTAACAAAAGCGTGCGGGTTTACGGCAACTATAACAAAATCATTATGCTAAAGTAAATAGACTGTTGTGTTGTGACATTCCACAGCTGTTACAGCAGTGCAAGGTCATCCATTGAAAATTTTAATAATTATTTACGGTACATAATGGCGCTTGTCGAATTATTTTAGAATAATTGTAAACAAAAAAAACGTTACACGTATTGTACTACGTCAGCATTGAACAATCTATGGTCTTATATTTTGTGGAGAATGTTTTTGTCATAGGGAAATTCATTATTTTTTAATGGCATCCTTTGAGTAGCAAATAAAGACAAACGATGGTTTTTGTACCTTTTTTTAATTTAACAGACACTGTAGAAGTGCTCGTGGCCTAAAGAAAAGATAGTAGGGTAACTCAGATCATAAGCGATGTGACCGCAAATCCCTCCGTCGAATACTATGTAATTTATGTAACGTAATTATATTTTAATCATGCTTGACTTCCAAGGTGAATTAATAACAGCCGGTAATAATATTTAAATCTGTAAAAAAATATAACGTTATTATAATTTTAATTATATTATCTCATAAATCTCAAGGTGGGGGCGGCATTCACATTGTGATGTCCATGTTGGCTGGTGTCCACTAAATACCAGATGGACCGCGAGCTCGTTCTCTATAAATGCATTAATAATAATAAAATACTAGTTATTTTTTTTCGGTGGAATAGTAGTATGACGAAAACTTTGAGTTCTCGGTTCAGCCACTATAGCTTATAGTTTTATTTCACAACATCAGTTTCCACCCATCACTGATGCATAAGACGGTAATGACAATTAGGCTTAGCAGCAAATTTTGAAAACTGAAAATCTTTTATTAATTGTCTAACATCAATTAAATGATCAAATTCAATTAATGAAACTAACCAAAACTTTGAGGCGTTAAGGTTTTTCATAACATCAATTTTCAAGGTAAAATTTATAAGCAAAAACATTTGGAAAACCCTATATTAAAAACTTGAAAAGTACCCTAGTTTTTAAGGAAAATAGTTCGTCGGACCACACTGAGCACTGCGGAACAATACGTTTACCATGTCTGTCAAACTGCGCCTGTCATGTCGTGAAACTAACATCCTGTCATACCATGCCCGTACATTAAAATTACACCAGCAATCAACATTAAAATGCACAAAATCAAGACAAACAGGTAAATCTATAAAAAAAAATCATTTCGTGTTCATTTTGGTGTAAAATAATATATTTGATATATTTGCTTGATCATTATAACCTCTTTCTTAATGCGTATTGTGATCTATATTAATATTTGTTTTTTTGTTGATATTTATTGATGTACAAAGGATATTAAAGTATAAATTACGTATTAACAGTTTCTATAAGCGTTAACGAATACAATGCTAGGAACTTAGGTCCTTTAATCTAATTTGATAGAATTAAAATAATTAATTAGGTTTAAAGAACTTAAATAAGTTTTAAACAAACTCATTAATTGAATATATCCATTGTTTAAGATACTGGCCATTCTTTAAAATTTATTTTATTATAATTACTATAGCTACAAGGTAGATTAGTTATGGTAATGGAATAAAAAACTTTTTGAAGTTGCAAACATCTGTGTGGGAAATTTCTTGTCCTTCATGGTCTGATATTTGCGTTTGCCAACAGCTCTGTTTAGTAAAAAAAGTTAAAAGTCAACAGCCGCTTATCTTTCAATGGATAATGGATATCTTTACTGTTATTGTATTTACAGACTATGACATGAAGTATCAGTATAGATCATTACTGTTTTGTTTGTTTTAATCTATAACTCCGGTCGACAAGAGAGGTTGTATTTTGTTCATCATAATATATCATGTTCAGTGTCTTTTCTCATGTTCATGATAATTGAACTTCTAACTAATCTACTTAATAAGTAAGCACTGATGTCCATTTAGGATACGTTAACATTTACAACATTTATTCATAAGTCATTGATATCTTGTAGATGTCATGTCCATCAAACATGCAAGCACAGTTGATTTTCATTAAACTTCTAGAACACTATTCTAAGGCCCCATTCATATGTGGTTCACATTATTTTGCTGCAACAGTTAAGTTTTCGTTAGCTATATGTGGGAACGTATCTTGTGCACAATCTTATCTAATATCTTGACTCATATGCGCCCAGTGTGGGCAGATAAGTTTTTGCACTATAATTTCTATGCATACAATCGTCCAGCATAATCTGAAAATTTCATTTTCCAAAATATGTGGTGCAATACTAGGAGCTTACGAAACTGCTAAGACTCATAATGAAACATTGATTAAAATTGAAAATTGATTTGTAATATTTTAAGCAAATAAAACATCCCAAAGTGAAATAAATGTTCCTCCTCAAACCGGAGCTATTTCATTATATGTAGTTGTTAATTTTTTGTTGTTAAGTGTTTACCGGAGCTCTTACAGTACAACTTAAACCTACCTCGAGATTTGAGTTCTAAGGTCTCAGTTTTTACAGTACAATGGCTGCCCCATCCTTCAAACAAAAAGGCATTGCTTCTTCACAGGTGAAATAGGCAGGGTGGTGGTAACTACCATGCGGACTCACAAAACGTCCTACCACCAGTGAATTGTTCTTTGTATTTAGTCATTAATTCATTCAGAATTTTGTTCTTATCATTTGAGCCTGCCACATGAATTACAGATGTGGCCTTGCTCACATATAAATTTACAAATAAGATACAAACTAACATGAAATAAACATTTTCAATAAATTATCCGGACAGACTGAAGGATAGAATAATGACTTATTCAATAGGTAATTTTCCCGTTGAATGAAGAAAAATTGTTGTTTCGTAAAGGGTTTTTGTTATAGTATTCGTGCCAATTTTATGTATTATACATATATTTCAAAATAATCCATGAAGGTAATTGATAATGCTGCTATAGTATAAATTGGTACGCCGTACGTAGTTTAAACTCTAAAAGACACACACTTCAATAGCAAACCAAACTAATAATTAATTTAATCTTTTTTTGTTATCCTGTCATTACTGGTCAGCATATTAGAGTTAGGCTATAAAATAATTATATTGTAATTGGTTCTTGATGGTTGTTTCTTAATGAATTTACAAGTTACAAATTAACTTAATTTAACATTACCGTATGTGAGCCACACCCAATGATGTTATATAGAAACTAACTAGATGCAGTGCAGCGTTTAGGGTAAAGCCAGTGAATACATTGATCAAATGTAGGTTCATTGATGCTCCTTACTGCTGAAAATAAAAATGCTTTTCTAACAGGCTTTTATTAGTTCACTTATCGTATGTTTGTTTGTAACTGAATCCTTAAAGGTAATTTTCAACGAATTGAAAACATCAGATTAGCTCTTTTTTTTCTACCTATGCTGGTTACCTTGAGAGGCTATTTCAGCTTCTCCTTGACGTGTGTAGGTGAGTTCACGGGGCTCAAACCGGGAGTGACGCTAACACTGGCCTTAGCAAGAGTAGTGCTTCGCTTCTACCACCGGATCGGAAACGCGACCCACTGAGAAGATCCGGCAAGAAACTCAGTGGGCTGTGTCTGTGGGTTAATTACTCGTCGAGCCCTTCGTCGCAAGCGACGGGTTCGGCAAGAACGGTGACCGGTGCTTGAGGTACCTAAATGCACCGTTAATGGATCGGTTTTGCTATTTAAGCATTTTTTGTGTTGTTTTAAAAACTATATATTTTGTCAATTCTATAGGACGCAGCGTTTAAATAATGACTAATATAGTACATTACAAGGAAATATATTTATGGCTGTTTATCAATTTATTTGTTTTCAAAGGGTCACCTGTAGGGGATCAATTAGTAAACTCAAGTTGATTTGTTTTGAAAAGAAATTATAAGCATGCCTTTAAAGAGTACCGAAGAAGCCAATTGGCTTATACCTTGAACCAGGCCGTGCTTATACTGAAGGTAGGGCGTCGCGTGAGCTCCCCGGATAGGTAACCACTGTACTATATTACTGTGATTTCAAATTCAAGTCTCAAGTTGGGTGACGGCATTTGCGTTGTTGATGTCTATGGGCTCTGTTAATTACTTAACGACAGATGAACCGTTCGTTCCATCGGATCCCTATTTATTCAGTAATGGTGGAAAATATCCACCGCATTACGGGAAGACCTAAAGACATTCCGTCTTAAAAGAGTAGGATAATAGTGTTTACAATGCAATTGAATGCAACACATGCTCAAAAGGAATCTTCAACTACAGGAAAACGCATCTAGTTTCGCATTTCATTACCCAAATTGTAGAATACGCAAATAGTGATACATAAAATAAATCAACTTATATAAAATATTCTTTTGTTACAGATCTTGAGATGCAATTATATTTTTATTTTTTTCTTTCTTAAAAACCTTATTGTTTTTTTTTTATTCACGGAATCATTGACAAATCTCATTTTTGGGAGTTTACTTAATTATTTCAAAATTATTTCGGACATTTTGGAGTTTGTACGGGCACTCAACATCAGACAGTTCCACCCTCAAACACAACACAAGCGGAGGGGCAGACTGAATCTTGGCACTACCAAGAAAGTCGCAGAATTCACAGCAGATTAGTTTTATTTTGACTGCAACTATTAATTTCGCGTTGAAATGGCCGAGAACGTTGAGGACATCACAAAGAACATATCTGAGCTAACCGTGCTATCATTTCGGAAGCTTGATGACGTCAAAAAGCTGGCAAAACACTTTACTAAGATCATCAATCATCCTATAACAGAACAAAGTCCAAGCATTCAACGTTACCTAAAGAACTTACAGGAAACGCACAAGAGGATAATTTTCCAAAAACGCGACAGCGTCGAAGTTGAATACATTTTTACGACTGAGAAGAAAAGTAGCCTGCAACGGCAAAGGTTTAACAGTCTACCGGTGAGCGAAGTTCCCGAATTGCTGAAAAACGAATTCATAGCTGTCGAAAACGCGAGACAAGTTCACATATGCACAGACTGTGACGTCGAGATAGAGTTAAACGATGAAGAGCCACTCATGGAATCTTTGCAGAAGCACTTCAATCTTGAAGTGCATCTTCCGAAGTTGAAACGGGAAAGCATCGATGTCGCTGAACCTGTAATACTGCCAAATATGTCGAGAAGACTGTCGGCGCTGGAATGTGGAGAAATGCCAGTATTAAGTCTAGAACAACTAAGACTCCGGAATCCCGTGGAAAAGTTGGATCGTAATCTCTGCAGCAAATTAACTAACGTGCTGCTAAAAGTGCTGCCAGATACCTCGGAAGCAAGCATCGCCGAAGCACTGAATATTTACCAGGAAACATACGACAAGCTATGCCAGGACGTCTCGAATATAGATTTTACAAATCAAACCAGCTCCGTAGCTCCCATCATAATGAGTATTCGTGACAACGTCTACCAGAATTTTTCGGCCGATGCAAACAAAAACACAGACAACGATGAAAATGAGCAATCGCCAGAGAAACCTAAAGCTCAGACAAAGAAATACAGGTATTACGGACCGATCGAAGCTTCTATTGTGAAATTACTGTTGAATCACAAATTAGTGTCGTTGGTTGATGACCGCACCGGGAAGCTAGCATTCTTCTGCATCGCCTGCGAGTACTACACGCTCAGATTCCACTACGATAGCGTTCTCAGTCACGTGTTCAGCGAAACTCACGTCCACAACCTGTCCTGTATTATGCAATCCGACAAGCACATCCCGTTTTTAATGAGCGAAACCACAATTGAGAGCATCAAAGAAATGAACGCGAAATTCCTTTCCGGTCATAACATCACAGCCACCGCATCCGGACTTAACTGCCGGCTCTGCAAACAAAACATAGAGACCGCCGAAGCGACCATACTCCACTTATTAGACGAGAAACACTTAGCCATGCTCTCAGACGATTTGTACTTAAAAATGAAAGCGACGAGCCCGAACGGGCAAATTCCTGAAGAATGGGGACCAAAGGACTTGAGCTGGTCCAAGTATTTGGCCAGCGTGGGCAAACCGGTTAACAACCGCGACCACGTTATCATAGAGAACTTTATTAAACCTTCCGGGAAAGTAGGCAATTTCTGCACCTGCTGCGATATGACGCTGAAAGGGCCCCGACAGGTCCTGTTCAACCATATCCGTCAGAAGAAGCACCTTCGTAACGCGGCACCAAAGAAGCTCGCCCTCCTCTACAAAAACTACTGCCGCCCCTCCGAGTACTACGCGTCGTTCGGTAACTTTTACATTTGTTCGATTTGCCCTGAATACGTGGCGGTGCCTTCGTTCGCGAACATCGTCGAACATTTCGAAAGCAACGAACACATGGAGACCGTAGCCAAACTTCTCCGTCTGGCCGTGAACAACGAAGTCGACAAACAATTTGCGGCACTGAATAAAATCGAAGATCTGAAATGCGTTTATTGCAACTTCGATTTTCGGGATAACCGTGAGGCCGTCAAACATGCGCTTTCTAATGTGTACCACCAGAGCGCCGTCGCGGAGACGAAGCTGAACGCGAACAGAGCGGATATAATAAGCGTTTACATGAAGGGAAATTACATCTTGCACAGCGAAGGAGCGTCCTTTACGTGCGTCAATTGCAATGGCGTATTCAATTCGATTCGGTCGCTTTTGATGCATTTAGTGCACGCCGAGCACTTTGCTTACAGACCGCCGGCGGAGTGCACCTTCCGTTATTATCTCGAATTAAAACACAACATTAACATGCTGGCGAAAAACAAATACGTTTATTACTCGTTTGGGAGGTTCAAATGTGGCGTTTGCGACGCGGACATCGAGGAGGGTGAGAACGCGAAACGACATGTCCTATCGCCGAAGCATAGAGAGAATATGGGTGCCACATACATCAATGAGGACGCGTCCGCCGTCGAGTAAGGTCAGTGTTGATGTGAACCATTTTCTTTTTAATTTCTCGTATCTTTTACAGATCCTTCTTGGTGATCCAAATAAATTTTTTTGTATGTGTCTTTGTATGCAGACGAGGAAATGGCCCATCTGATGGTAAGTAGTCACCGTCGTTCATGTACATCGGCAATGCCAGGGGCATAGCTAATCCGATGCCTACAGCAAGAAGCAAAGTCCGTCATTTTGATTAATTATCTTAGTTGTAAATCGATATATGTATTATATTGTTGTTTACTAAGTTGAAAAATGTGTTTGTTTGTCCTTCTTTCACGTCGTAATTAAGCAACGGATTGACATGTTTTTTTTTAAATGGCAGTAGTAGGTCAGGAGACTGACATAGGCTACTTTTATCCCGAAAAGACATCTATTCCCACGGGAAACTGCACTGACCCTTTTCTTTAATGATGCAGGCGAAGCCGCGAGTAACAGCTAGTGGTTAATAAACCACAATTTACACGTTTAAACCTAAAGTATGGATGATAGAGCATCATCTCAGTGTATTAAAAAGTGTCCGCAGAAAGAGAGCTAATTAAGGTGGCGCCACCGTAGCAAGTAGAAAGATTTAAAAAACAGCGCCATAAACTATTAGAGTAGGACACGAAATTACGAAGGAAAGGAACATTTCCTACGTAAATATGTAGAAATAAAAATAAATACTTGGGATTTAAAATGCTGCATATTTTTTAAATAAACAAGTTAAGAAAAATATTAAATTTTTCGACCCAGCACACTTCGCTCTGCAATATTGAGCAGCAACATTGCTATATTCATAATATCATTTCCACTTCCTACACGAGCGCTATTTTTGTGAGTTTCCCAACAATAACTTGCTGTTTTACAGATGGACACATTTTCAACTTTTTTTTTGCATTTAATGTTTCGTATTGTTTCTTTTGTTCGTGTACAATAAAGAATTCTCTCTCTCTCTTTCTCTCTTTCTTGTCCCTTATACACGATTGTGCTCCTTACTTCTTTCTACCCTCCATAACTTGAAGAAAGAACAAAGTAGTTGACATGACTATACAGCCAAGATTCCCCGCGTAGAAGTTATGCCAATGTTAGATTTAAAAAAAACTTTTGTTTTTTTTTCAGATGCTAAGCAAATGCTGTGGAGGTCATAAATAAAAGATTAAGTTTTTTTTTCCTCTTTATTATATACAATATGTAAAGGAGAAATCATAGACGTTTTACATGTTTTAAATAAATAAATGAAATGGTTTCTGCGGTTGTTTTATTTGACGGTAAGCTGTATTCGCTGCTAACACCCGATGTACCTCAAAGGTCCGTTCTTTTTGAATAGACATGTTAATGACACGCTTTTATTAGTTCAGCTTAGGTATAGTATACATGTGTTTGTTCGTAACGGAACAGACTTAAAAACATCCGATTAATTTGAAAATTTGTACACGCCTTAAGAACCAATGACGCTACAATCATTTTTTATCTTCGCTCTAATACCCTGACCGGTAATTGACAAGATGATAAAAAAGATGAAATTAATTGTTGGTTCGGTTTTCAATATTTAAGCGTGTTTTTTTGAAGTGAAACTTCCTTATCGGCGTTGGAAAAAAATTTACCGTCACATTTTTCGGTTACGCGTCACATTTTTCCGTTACGCGCCATCTGTTTTGTATTCATGTCTATGATAATAAAATCCTTTTGTTTAAACTTTATCTAATTTAACTTTTTTGTATTCATGTCTATGATAATAAAATCCTTTTGTTTAAACTTTATCTAATTTAACTTTATTTAACCAATTTCTAGAAAGTTGCATGTAGATCATTTTTCGAAAAATAAGGCCATAAACAAGTTTCACTTCTTACGTGTGTACACTAGTACACGCACACATATTTTTTTTTTGTTTTAGGGTGGGATTTAAGCTAATTTTCAGTGGTGACTTTTCGTTCATTCTACAATTAATGTTGTCTATAGCTAATTAACTTTGCAAATAGAGAGTGGCTGAACAAATCACGGGCTGACGTTCCGAGCCTCAAAGAGCCATAAACGAATAATTGTCCACTATAGGTACCAACAGGTTGTATTAACTGAAATAGTACTGGTTAATTTATTCCATAGATGAGTGGACGAGATCACAGCTCATCTGGTGTTAAGTGGTTACCGGAGTCCATAGACATCTATGACGTAAATGCCGTCACCCACTGAGATATGAGTTCTAAGGCCTCAGTAGGTATAGTTATAACGGCTGCCCCACCCTTCAAACCGAAACGCATTACTGTTTTCCGTGAAGAATGATTTTTGGGATAAAAACGTGGCCTATGTCATACTACATACCTAATACTATCACTCTAAAACACATGTCCATCTGCTGAAGCTGCGGATAGGAGTGATTTGTACTAATACATACATACCAAAGTTATAGTTCCTAACTACTTTCAAACCCATAGAAGCCTTATAGATCTTTGTGACACTTGATGTTGGAAGAAACTTACTGTGATCGAAAAAAAAAGTGATACATAAGAAGAATATCGCTAAAAAGCTTTATTATTAGCCCACTGAGTTTCTTGCCGGATCTTCTCGGTGGGTCGCGATTTGGATTCGCTGGTAGATTCTGCGAAGCACTGCTCTTGCTAGGGCTAGTGTTGGCAATGTCTTCAGGTTAGAGCCCCGTGACCTACTCGCTCAGTTACGCAGGCATAGCCCACTAGGTTAGCAGCTTAGGTAGGAAAGAAAAAGGGTTGATTTATCTAAGTTATGATTATGACACTGATACATAAATTTTACGAAGAAAATTGAAAACAGGTATGTACCTATAGTAAGTTATTGCACTATTTACATATTTATAATTAATTTGGGTTTAACTCAAAAAAAAAGAACCTTTTAATATCTGCAGGTATTTAATTAAATTCAAAACGTGTTTTATTACAATTTCATTACAATTTATTAGTATTCAATTTGCAAATCATAATGACAGGTAGCTTTAAATTTAAGACAAAATTAAACATTTTGATTTAAATAACTCAACTGCCAGTGATACCAGCCGGCAAATCTTTTAAAGGAATAAGTTTAGGTGCGCTCGTGTTGTCACAAGTACAGAAACAGTTCTGCCCTTGAGGACCATTTGGCAGAATTAAAACCTTCAAATTCATGCTGGTTTCCAAAGCTTGCATTATTTCTGCAACAAATAATAACAATACATATTCGAGCCTGTATCAAATGTATCCCTTTCTCCTTACCAAACGACAAAAAAAAGATTCGTTTTGGCGGGAATCTTAATAATATAAATTACTGTTTTTTTGTGAAATTCAGTGATGAACTATTTATTATTTTAAATGAAACAAATGATAAAATGATGTAGTTTGCTACATACATATAACTTTTTTTTTTAACTTGTGTTAGTGTATTTTAATGGTTAATAAACTTTCTTACTGTTGATTTGTGTAATGAATTTTAATGATGTGTGATTTATTGGTGATGTATATTTTACATGTGAGATGCAAAAAAATCCGAGTGATGATTATAGGTACGTTTGCTCTTCTTTGTTCTATGTATTATATTAATAATTGTTTATTCGAAAACCCTGAGTACCAAACATTGCCCATATTATAACATGGTTAAATAATCACTTTGTATGTGTGTGTGTGTGTGTGTTTATTTGAGTTTGCTGATTGTAAATTGTCTACATAAATATGCGGATAATAAAAATTTTCGTGTTTCACGAAATATCATACAAAATAAATTTATAGTCTTAATAAAAAGTCGATGTTATTCTTCCATAATCGATTTGTATGTTACGTTTTTTTGCATAAATATTACTATGATGAGATATCAATTACAACAATATTTTCTCTTGGAATTGATCTAGACATCAAAATTCATATAAAGTAGTAAAAAGCAGTTATGAATAGTATGAAATTATTGTCATCACCGTATGTGTTTCCCGAGTGCTATGGCATCTCTTTCGGTGCAGTAGATAACGTCTTAACTGTGACTTCCAGCTGTCTTGAAAGACACTGACCAATCATCATCAGACGATCAGATGATCATCAAACTAAAGTTCGCTACGATTGAAAACTACTAACCTTTCTTGCCTTGATTCAAGGCCAATTTGCCTCCAGTACCAGGCGGGGTAGGCTGCAAGTCAGTCGCCGGCTCCTTCTGCCCAGGTCCTGCAGGCGGCTTATTGCAAGGCACCGTCCTATTAGGTTCAGTGCTAGATCCATCTGCATGTTCATTTTTCTCGGTTTGCGGAGTACATTTATCTTTGTTTATTTCTGGTGTAGTCGTTACTGTTTTTATGTTCGATTTGGGAGTTGCGGTTTCTGCAGGGTTTGTTTTAGTTGGTGCTGTAGATGATTCGGGAACAGATCGGGTGGTCTGATATACATTCGTTGCTTCAAGTGGTTTAGTTGTAGATGCCTCTTGTTTTGTCGTTGTCAATTCCAGGTTAGATTTTGGATTGTTAGGAGTATTTTCTGTCGTTACTGTTACTACAGGAACGACCGGTTCTTGTTCGGTTCTTCTAGCTTGCGAAGGTTTAGGGGTTTGCGTTACTTCATGTGGTGTTTGAGGTTCTTCGCCTGTCACGGGCCCAATCGGTTTCACCGGTTTCTCTGGTAAATGAACTACCTCCGATTCTTTTGGTGGAACGACTTCTTCTGGTTCTCGTGATTGTGTAAATTCTGTTGTAAATCCGGATGTAGACTTCGGTGTTGTCGTTTCTTTTGTTATAATGTATTCAGAAGGTGTTGTTTCTGTATTTTGTTCCATTACATTGGTTACGGATGTTGCGATATTACTCGGTCCTTTTTCTGTCGTCTTCATTTGTGAATCGGATTGAAGTTTTGACCCCGGTTTTAGCGGTTTCTGCGTTATTTCTGGTTCTAATGTTTGCGACGTCGCTTCTAATTCATTTTCTGCCACTGATGTTTCATATTCTCTTGGTTGCTTTGTTAATTCCTGTTGTTCAGGTTGTAATGTCGTACCAGACTCTCTCGGTTGCTCGGTAGTTTCTTGTTGTTCTGGTTGCACCGTTTTTTCATCTTCTCTTGATTGCTCTGTTGTTTCTTGTTGTTCTGATTTCAACGTTGTTTCGGATTCTCGTGGTTGATCGGTAGTTACTTGTTGTTCTGGTTGCGACGTTGTATCATTTTCTCTTGGTTGCTTCGTTGTTTCTGTTTGTTCTGGCTGCAACGTTGTATCAGACTCTCTTGGTTGGTCAGTTCTGTCCTGTTGTTCTGGTTGCAACGTTGTTTCGGATTCTCGAGATCGCTCGGTAGTTACTTGTTGTTCTGGTTGCACTGTTGTTTCATATTCTCTTGATTGCTCTGTTGTTTCTTGTTGTTCTGGTTGCACCGTTGTTTCATATTCTCTTGATTGCTCTGTTGTTTCTTGTTGTTCTGGTTGCACCGTTGTTTCATATTCTCTTGATTTCTCTGTTGTTTCTTGTTGTTCTGATTGCAACGTTGTTTCATATTCTCGTGGTTGATCGGTAGTTACTTGTTGATCTGGTTGCAACGTTGTTTCATATTCTCGTGGTTGGTCGGTAGTTTCTTGTTGTTTTGGTTGTAACGTTGTATCAGACTCTCTTGGTTGGTCAGTTCTGTCCTGTTGTTCTGGTTGCAACGTTGTTTCGGATTCTCGTGATCGCTCGGTAGTTACTTGTTGTTCTGGTTGCAACGTTGTTTCATTTTCTCTTAGCTGCTTCGTTGTTTCTTGTTGTTCTGGCTGCAACGTTGTTAAAGATTCTCTTGGTTGCTCGGTTCTTTCCTGTTGTTCTGGTTGCACCGTTGTTTCATATTCTCTTGATTGCTCTGTTGTTTCTTGTTGTTCTAGTTGCAACGTTGTTTCATATTGTCGTTGTCGATCGGTAGTTACTTGTTGTTCTGGTTGCAACGTTGTTTCATATTCTCGTGGTTGGTCGGTAGTATCTTGTTGTTTTGGTTGCAAAGTTGTATCAGATTCTCGTGGTTGTTCCGTGGTTTCTTGTAGTTCTGATTGCAGCGTTGTATCAGACTCTCTTGGTTGGTCAGTTCTGTCCTGTTGTTCTGGTTGCAACGTTGTTTCGGATTCTCGAGATCGCTCGGTAGTTACTTGTTGTTCTGGTTGCAACGTTGTTTCATTTTCTCTTAGCTGCTTCGTTGTTTCTTGTTGCTCCGGCTGCAACGTTGATTCATATTCTCGTGGTTGATCGGTAGTTACTTGTTGTTCTGGTTGCAACGTTGTTTCATATTCTTGTGGTTGGTCGGTAGTTTCTTGTTGTTTTGGTTGCAAAGTTGTATCAGATTCTCGTGGTTGTTCCGTGGTTTCTTGTTGTTCTGGTTGCAACGTTGTTTCATTTTCTCTTAGCTGCTTCGTTGTTTCTTGTTGTTCTGGCTGCAACGTTGTTAAAGATTCTCTTGGTTGCTCGGTTCTTTCCTGTTGTTCTGGTTGCACCGTTGTTTCATATTCTCTTGATTGCTCTGTTGTTTCTTGTTGTTCTGGTTGCACCGTTGTTTCATATTCTCTTGATTGCTCTGTTGTTTCTTGTTGTTCTGGTTGCAACGTTGTTTCATATTCTCGTGGTTGGTCGGTAGTTTCTTGTTGTTTTGGTTGCAAAGTTGTATCAGATTCTCGTGGTTGTTGCGTGGTTTCTTGTAGTTCTGATTGCAGCGTTGTATCAGACTCTCTTGGTTGGTCAGTTCTGTCCTGTTGTTCTGGTTGCAACGTTGTTTCGGATTCTCGAGATCGCTCGGTAGTTACTTGTTGTTCTGGTTGCAACGTTGTTTCGGATTCTCGAGATCGCTCGGTAGTTACTTGTTGTTCTGGTTGCAACGTTGTTTCATATTCTCTTGATTTCTCTGTTGTTTCTTGTTGTTCTGATTGCAACGTTGTTTCATATTCTCGTGGTTGATCGGTAGTTACTTGTTGTTCTGGTTGCACCGTAGTTTCATATTCTCTTGATTTCTCTGTTGTTTCTTGTTGTTCTGATTGCAACGTTGTTTCATATTGTCGTGGTCGATCGGTAGTTACTTGTTGTTCTGGTTGCAAAGTTGTATCAGATTCTCGTGGTTGTTCCGTGGTTTCTTGTTGTTCTGGCTGCAACGTTGTTAAAGATTCTCTTGGTTGCTCGGTTCTTTCCTGTTGTTCTGGTTGCACCGTTGTTTCATATTCTCTTGATTGCTCTGTTGTTTCTTGTTGTTCTGGTTGCACCGTTGTTTCATATTCTCTTGATACCTCTGTTGTTTCTTGTTGTTCTGGTTGCAACGTTGTTTCATATTGTCGTGGTCGATCGGTAGTTACTTGTTGTTCTGGTTGTAACGTTGTTTCATATTCTCGTGGTTGGTCGGTAGTTTCTTGTTGTTTTGGTTGCAAAGTTGTATCAGATTCTCGTGGTTGTTGCGTGGTTTCTTGTAGTTCTGATTGCAGCGTTGTATCAGACTCTTTTGGTTGGTCAGTTCTGTCCTGTTGTTCTGGTTGCAACGTTGTTTCGGATTCTCGAGATCGCTCGGTAGTTACTTGTTGTTCTGGTTGCAACGTTGTTTCATTTTCTCTTAGCTGCTTCGTTGTTTCTTGTTGCTCTGGCTGCAACGTTGATTCATATTCTCGTGGTTGATCGGTAGTTACTTGTTGTTCTGGTTGTAACGTCGTATCAGATTCTCGTGGTTGTTCCGTGGTTTCTTGTGGTTCTGGTTGCAACGTTGTATGTGACTCTTTTGGTTGGTCAGTTCTGTCCTGTTGTTCTGGTTGCAACGTTGTTTCGGATTCTCGTGTTCGCTCGGTAGTTACTTGTTGTTCTGGTTGCACCGTTGTTTCATATTCTCTTGATTTCTCTGTTGTTTCTTGTTGTTCTGATTGCAACGTTGTTTCATATTCTCGTGGTTGATCGGTAGTTACTTGTTGTTCTGGTTGCACCGTTGTTTCATATTCTCTTGATTTCTCTGTTGTTTCTTGTTGTTCTGATTGCAACGTTGTTTCATATTCTCGTGGTTGATCGGTAGTTACTTGTTGTTCTGGTTGCACCGTTGTTTCATATTCTCTTGATTTCTCTGTTGTTTCTTGTTGTTCTGATTGCAACGTTGTTTCATATTCTCGTGGTTGATCGGTAGTTACTTGTTGTTCTGGTTGCACCGTTGTTTCATATTCTCTTGATTTCTCTGTTGTTTCTTGTTGTTCTGATTGCAACGTTGTTTCATATTCTCGTGGTTGCTCGGTAGTTACTTGTTGTTCTGGTTGCACCGTTGTTTCATATTCTCTTGATTTCTCTGTTGTTTCTTGTTGTTCTGATTGCAACGTTGTTTCATATTCTCGTGGTTGATCGGTAGTTACTTGTTGTTCTGGTTGCACCGTTGTTTCATATTCTCTTGATTTCTCTGTTGTTTCTTGTTGTTCTGATTGCAACGTTGTTTCATATTCTCGTGGTTGATCGGTAGTTACTTGTTGTTCTGGTTGCACCGTTGTTTCATATTCTCTTGATTTCTCTGTTGTTTCTTGTTGTTCTGATTGCAACGTTGTTTCATATTCTCGTGGTTGATCGGTAGTTACTTGTTGTTCTGGTTGCACCGTTGTTTCATATTCTCTTGATTTCTCTGTTGTTTCTTGTTGTTCTGATTGCAACGTTGTTTCATATTCTCGTGGTTGATCGGTAGTTACTTGTTGTTCTGGTTGCACCGTTGTTTCATATTCTCTTGATTTCTCTGTTGTTTCTTGTTGTTCTGATTGCAACGTTGTTTCATATTCTCGTGGTTGATCGGTAGTTACTTGTTGTTCTGGTTGCACCGTTGTTTCATATTCTCTTGATTTCTCTGTTGTTTCTTGTTGTTCTGATTGCAACGTTGTTTCATATTCTCGTGGTTGATCGGTAGTTACTTGTTGTTCTGGTTGCACCGTTGTTTCATATTCTCTTGATTTCTCTGTTGTTTCTTGTTGTTCTGATTGCAACGTTGTTTCATATTCTCGTGGTTGATCGGTAGTTACTTGTTGTTCTGGTTGCACCGTTGTTTCATATTCTCTTGATTTCTCTGTTGTTTCTTGTTGTTCTGATTGCAACGTTGTTTCATATTCTCGTGGTTGATCGGTAGTTACTTGTTGTTCTGGTTGCACCGTTGTTTCATATTCTCTTGATTTCTCTGTTGTTTCTTGTTGTTCTGATTGCAACGTTGTTTCATATTCTCGTGGTTGATCGGTAGTTACTTGTTGTTCTGGTTGCACTGTTGTTTCATATTCTCTTGATTTCTCTGTTGTTTCTTGTTGTTCTGATTGCAACGTTGTTTCATATTCTCGTGGTTGATCGGTAGTTACTTGTTGTTCTGGTTGCAACGTTGTTTCATATTCTCGTGGTTGGTCGGTAGTTTCTTGTTGTTTTGGTTGTAACGTTGTATCAGACTCTCTTGGTTGGTCAGTTCTGTCCTGTTGTTCTGGTTGCAACGTTGTTTCGCATTCACTTGATTGCTCTGTTGTTCCCTGTTGTTCTGGTTGCACCGTTTTTTCAGATTCTCTCGGTTGCTCGGTTGTTTTCTGTTGTTCTGGTTGCAACGTTGTATCAGATTCTAGTGGCTGCTTTATTATTTCCTGTTGTTCTGGTTGCAACGTTGTTTGAGTTTCTCTTGATTTCTCGGTAGTTTCTTGTTGGTCTGGTTGCAACGTTATTTTAGACTCTTGCGGTTGCTCGGTTGTTTCTTGTTCTGGTTGCAATGTTGTTTCTTGTCGTTCTGGTTGCAACGTTGTATCAGATTCTAGTGGCTGCTTTGTCATTTCCGGTTGTTCTGGTTGCAACTTTGTTTCGGATTCTCCTGTTTGCTCGGTAGCTTCTTGTTCTGACGTTGAGAGCGTTGTTGGCTGTTCTCCCGGTTGCTCGGTGATACCTACTTCGGATCCGTTCGGTGTTGTTAATTGAATCGATTCAGTTTGAGTTTCGGTGATTGCCTCCGTGCTCGTCGTGGTCGGTACCGCTGTCGTTGTTTCGGGCTTTTGCGTTGTGGTCGTGGTGGTCGTGGTTGTAGTGGTTGTAGTAGTTGTAGTGGTCTTTTCTATTCTCGGCCTGTTGTGTTTGATATGATCGATCGCCTTGCGTATGTCTGAGGAAAAATTATATATGCAAATTCAGAAGAGTAAAATGTGTTTGATGGCTTTCAGTTATAGAGACTTTGATCTACTTAACTACTTTACTAACTAACTACTACTTTGACCCACCTAAAGTGGCTTTCGCACGGGTCATCTGAACGGGTCCTATTCATATTCCAAGGACATACGAACGGTTTGATATGGTGTTGTTTTATTGTCGTCTATTTCCTATTAAACCTAAGTCCTCCGTCACCACTCAAACTGTAAGGTAGTCGTTTTGTCCATACGTAATCGCCGGTAGCTTCAGTTGCTACGCGCGATTTCGTAGCTGAGTTTACCTGGGGCTAGACCTGGGACGACTCGCTAAGACCCGCCCTAGCAAGCAGCGCTTTGCCAAGCCTACCACTATCTATATCTATATCACTGTCTATGGGCTAGGTTGCACGTCGAATTTGGCAAGTTCGACCAATAACGGTGACCGTTGTTTGGGTGATCCGATAGGACACGTTTAGGGCTAAGGCGTCTTTGCGGTCTTCCGTACCTTGGGTTGGAGAGGTCGCTCGAGGCTTTCTCCAAGAATACGACCTCTAATAGATATTATTCTAAGATAAAAGGAAAGTAAAATTTTCATACCTGGCTGACCTGTAGCCCTTTTCAAGTCCTTTAGCGCGTCTACAAAGTCTGAAACACAATTAGTACGTAGCATCTTTATGTCATATTCATCATATATGTCAACATGTTTATATAAAGGAGAAAACACCTGAATGTCCCTTAAAACCACATTCACGGTTAAAAAATTTCAAGTTTTTTTAACTCTCATTATAACTTTTATAATTTACGACTTTTCGAATACGGTTTTGGTTTTTAGAACGCACGACTGTTCACCCGGAAATAATGCAATGACAGAGATTGAATCGTAAAAGTACATAGTTCGCGACCACTGATGATAACAATGTGTATATAACCGATATTATTGCAAAGGGCTTTAGGTACCTTTTTTGTACCTAAAGGACGTACCTAGGGCGTCTTTGCGGTCTTCCGTAACTTTTTTTTTTATTGCTTAGGTGGGTGGAAGAACTCACAGCCCACCTGGTGTTAAGTGGTTACTGGAGCCCATAGATATCCAGAACGTAAATGCGCCACCCACCTTGAGATATAACTTCTAAGGTCTCAAGTATAGTTACAACGGCTGCCCCACCCTTCAAACCGAAACGCATTACTGCTTCACGGCAGAATAGGCAGGGTGGTGGTACCCACCCGCGCGGACTCACAATTGAAATTCTATTCGCGATTGAAATTCTAGTTTAGCATATAATAACAATAATAAAGCCTTTCTATTTCAAGTAAATTTACATAACTTAAAATCTACGTATGTGTTAGTTTTTTTATTTTTATTTTATTATTTGATTCTAATTTAATTTTTAGTATAGTTTTTATCACTTACTTAGTATAGTTAGTAGTTATGTTTACTTAATATTATGTAGCTATGTTTAATCTACCGTAACCCCAGATTGGGTAAAGGCCTCCGCCGGTGATGCCCATTTGATTCTGTCTTCAGCTACTTTTTTCCAATTTGCGCCAGCTATTGCTTTAATTTCTGGTTTAGCATAATACGCAACACACAACACAACAAGAAAATTCACTTACTATACGTATCTGTGTACTCTTCTAATAAGATGACGACCTCTTCGAAGACTGTAATAAAAAAAATATGTTTAATAAATGATTAGTTTCATCGAAATTCAAATTCGAAGCTCAAATAAGTAGGATGCGTTTTCTGAAAAATTCATGCATTTAATATAACTTGTGCATCTCACAACAACAAGTAAATTATTTCATATATCGTATTATAAAAAAACACGCGTATATAGCAAGCCGAATTAACAATTAATTTCATTATTTTTTTGATTCAGATGATACTGGTCGGGTCCAGTTTGATAGAGATATTAGAGCAAAGTTATAAAAAAGTTCTTTGTGCAAATTTTTAAAGTTATTAAGAAGACGTCTTGGAATTGGTGAAAATGTCTTTCAAAGATTTCGTTACATAAAAACATACTGAGCTAAAAAAAACGTTTTGAAAAACATAAAAAAAATCACAAACATTAAAATATTTAATAAAAAATAAAAGAAACAGGACAAAAACTGTACTTACAGAATCTTTTGCTGACTGTGATAATCAACTCGAAGAATTTCACGACGTCTGTTAGAGACAAAGATAGTAAAAATTTAAAAGAAACAAATATATATAGGTATGTATGTAGCTTGTTTTTTTCTCCGATTATTCATTGTGCTCATAGCCCATCAAAACAGGGTGAATGTCGCCTTATTTTCTACCTAATCACCTTGAAGGACTATTCTGGCTCCTCCCAGTGGGTGAGCTCACGGCCCTCAATCTGAGAGAATTTCGCCTCAGATAATCTGGCCTTAGCAAGAGCAGTGCTTCGCTGAATCTACCACCGGGTCGAAATCGCGACTCAGTGAGAAGATACGACGAGAAATTCAGCGGCCTGTATCTATGGGTTAAGATTACGTCGAAATTGATGCTTGGATTGCCTAAAAGTACTGAGAGTGGATCGAGAGGATCCGAGAGAACATATCTGATATGGCGGCGGCTGTTATTCTCTGTCTCTGGCGTAACTACCGCCTGGGTATGTCTTGATGGTAATCCTGAACTTTATAAGACCGATGCTACTTTAATATGAGCTACGCCTCGTTTCCTTATCTCAATGATTAAGAATAAATAACAAAGAACTCACCCATTTGCGTTATCTCGTGTATCGCTTCGATCACTTCGAAGAAACCTATAAAAATAATATAAGCATTTTATTATGAGCAATCGTAAGAGAACGCTTCTGTTATCGCTGGACGAAAAATATATTTATGTCTTTAAAAAGCTCAATTGTACTTTGTGGGTATCGCTAAAGGGAAAATCTTCCACCGGGCAATTTTTTAGGAACGAAGTATTAGTGCTGGCTCGGGGACCTTTCCAGTTTCACCAGGACAGGTGGGCGAGCAAAGGCTCAGCCAGAAGGGGTGGGATTAGCTAACAGCTGCCCGAGCGGCTCCGAAGGAGACCTAACAACTCAAGAGCAGCTGATTCGGGAATGAATCTACTACCGGATTGGAATCGCGACCCGCTGAGAAGATCCGGCGAGAAACTCAACGGGCTGATGCATGGGTTAGGTTGCGGTTACCAAGATCCCGAAGCCTGCCCCTAGTGCTAGAGTTACAGGCGTCTAATAATATAGTTAGTGGATCGGAAGGACATGTCTAGGGCGTCAATAGTGAGTGACCCCTGGATGAGCTGGAACCGGGGAGTAGTCAGCGGTGACAACGATAAGGCGATCATCATGACGACCGGGCACCTGCAACGGCTCGATGTGTAATCCTTATCGCCGGGTACTGTAGCAATTGGCCCATGTAAAGTCAGTTAATACTTACTTCGTTTATTCGATATCTTAGTGAGCAATGCAGCAGCCACAGTCACGTTAGTCGTGCTCGTGATCCTCAGGATCGTCTCCAAGAATATAACGACGTCAACGTTTGTGTACTTAAACACGGTGTCGAAGAAGAAAAATATATCTGCGTCATGAACAAACAAATAGTTGTTATTCAGTAAACTCTGATTTGTGACAGAAAGAGATACATGCAATACAATCGTTATTAGGATTTTTTTATTACTTAAATGGGTGGACGAGCTCACAACCCACTTGGTGTTAAGTGGTTACTGAAGCCCATAGACATCTACAACGTAAATGCGCCACCCATCTTGACATATAAGTTCTAAGGTCTCAAGTAGGTACAGTTACAACGGCTGCCCCACCCTTCAAACCGAAACGTATCACTGCTTCACGGCAGAAATATGCGGGGTGGTGGTATCTACCCGGGCGGACTCACAAGAGGTCTTACCACCAGTTGGATTATTGGTAGTCTGAAGGCATTTTCAGCTTCGTCTGGAAGTATGGGGCTTCTTAACAACTGCCCGAGCTCCTCCAAAGGAGACCTGATGATGTTTGCAAATGCATCTAATACCGAATCGAAATTGCGACACCCTGACAAGATCCGGCGAGAAACTCAGCGGGCTGATGCTATGGCCCTGCTTTTACGTCGAGATCTTTGACGAGTTCGGAGTTCTGAATACTGTTACCAGACTCCTGTGACTGTTCCTAGTGCTAAAGCTGTAGGCGTCTAATAACTATGTTATTGGATCGAACGGATCCATAAGGACGTCTCTACGGTGACGGTGACTGGCTCCTGCATGAGCCAGTTTCGGGGAGTAGTTAGCTAAGGCCACGGCGAAGCGGTTATCATGTTATAAATGAATTTCTAGATCTTGGGGCAGAATTTGCTTTTGAATTTTTTTATGTGCAAAGGTTTTTTGTATTCTTTACTTGTTTATGCGGGTAATTCATAAGCAAACACAAATTCAACGGTGTCAATGTAATTCTCCAAAAATACTACAGTAAATATTTGCTTAAGGGAAAATTAGACAGACAACAAATATTATTTATATCTCTGAGGCTGAGCCCTGTGAGGCCGCTGCCTACACACCCGGTGAAGCCAGAATAGCTCCTTGTGGCTACTGGCAGTATGTAGGCAGAAAAAAGTGTCCTATTAAAAATCGTATTTAACTCACCAGTTATAAATGTTACGCTGGACAACACATCCCACGCGGCTTCCACAGCTGTGAAAAGTAAACATGATCAAAATAATTCACAATAGGTACCTAATAAATAAACAAACATAAATAAACTCCATTCTTATACTGCATGGGTACAAGGAAAGTGATTAGAAACTCATGAAACTCAAACCCAACCTAGATATCAAAAACGTAAATGCCGCCACCCACTTTGAGACATGAATCCTAAGTTTATAGTACAACGGCCGCCACACCATTGAACCCGAAACGCATTATTTTATTTCGTCCTCGTGCTGGCCATTATTAGTGGCGAGGCCTTTCCAGTTTCACCAGGACAGGTGGGCGAGCAAAGGCTCAGCCAGGAGGGGTGCGATTTGCTAATAGCTGCCCGAGCGCCTCCAAAGGCGACCACACAACTCAAGAGCAGCTGATTCGCGAATGAACCACCGGAATGGAATTGCGACCCGCTGAGAAGATCCGGCGAGAAACTTAGCTGGCTGATGCATGGGTTAGGTCGCCCGTCGAAATATTTGCGGAGTTCGACGAGTAGGGATACCGGGGTCCGTAAGCCTGCTCGTACCGTTAGAGCTGAATGCATGTAATGCAAGAGTTATTGGATCTGATGTATCTGTAAGGACATGTCTAGGGTGTCGACGGTGACTGGCTCCTGCGTGATCAGGATTCGGGGAGTAGTCAGCGGCGGCAACGATAAGGTTGATTATCATGTCGCATTGCCTTATCGAAGTAACGTTCCGACGCTGACTTCATGTGTTTTGATATCGATTTGAGGCCTAGGTCGTCGTGTAGGTCAACGTTCCTCACGAACCACAGTGCTCCGATGACTGAACTGCAAAAGCGGGATTGTAGGGATTGTAGAGTGTCTATGTGTGTGCGAGCCGCGTGAGCGAACACCGCACTCGCGTAAGTCATGACGGGTCTTATGCAAGTTTTGTAAATTGTCACCTTGTTCCGAAGGGACATTTTACTACGCTTACAGATCATGGGGTAGAGTTTGCCGAGGATAAACGCGGCGCCGTCGCGGACTGATTTTATATGCGGGCGTAATGTCATGGTTGCATCCAGAGTTATGCCGAATGTCCTGATCAACTTGTTGTTGTACTTAGCACTATCTTCCATTACGGCACTAAGAGTCACTAAACCAATCGTATACGAGAACGACTTTCCTACACTTACATTTAGTTGCAGTAAAAGCTAGCAGCTTCCTGAAGAAATCTATTATGTTCTCATGCCCAGACTTAATTCGGATTTGATTGAGTATTTCCAAAGTTGACACTGAAATGAACAAAACAATTTTGTTTATTTTTTTTATGATTAATTAATTAATTTATTGCTTAAACACGTGAGTTAATAGAATGAAGGTCTGCTATCTCGCAATAGTTCAGTACTTAAAATTTTTTTACGATTTTACTCATTAATCGTGGAATTCATTAATGAACGTATGTTCAGTACGTGTTTCATTAAAAAAAAATTATACCCCTCAGCGGGATTCGAACACCTACACAGCCGCATCGCTCGATACGAATGCGCCGGGCGTCTTATCCTTCAGGCTACGATGTCTTCGAACTTTTAACTTAAGAAATACTAAGATTGAATTAATCTCGCTTGTTTTAATTATCATTATATTATTTCAGACTGTACTGTAGCACAATACTCAAATGTCGACAAATAACAAACACCCCAATACATTGTCAGAAAATTTAAAAACATTCGAAATGACAGCAAAATTAATTCAATCTAATTAAAATAAATAGACAATAATCTGATTTAAAAAAAAAAATTGATATTTCAAAGAAATAGTGGTCGTTAAAACACATTTTAGATTCCGAGTGCCTATTCGCATCCAATATGGAGGAAAATATGGATAATGTGTAAAATAACATTAATTACTTTGTCTTATTGTGAGTTTGTTGATGACGGTGGCCGCTTCTCTGATGTTCTTGGTCTGCGTCACGTCGAGAAGAGAATTTAAGAAGAACAATGGGTCCTGAGTCTTACTCATCTTGTTTATATTCTGTGCTACTGTCACGAGACCTATAAAAAAAGAAGATATTAATATAGATCTAATCATAAAATATATAGAATTTTAATAAAAAAATAAAATTAATATAAATCGACTTTGTAATAAACATGGCAAATAAATTTAACAATAAGATCAGGAAATTGACCCAAAAGTGACGGATCATAATTAAAATATCGAGGGGTGAAAAAAAGAGATTGAGAAGTTCGCATCTTGTGTCCTAGACCATTGGTGCCCAGACTTTTTTCGACTACGACCCCTTTAGTAGAGAGAAAAAATATTGGCGAACCCTAGATAGGGAGAGACTGGTGTATTAAGAGATGCCAAATCGCCGGAAAAATATAAAAATACCCCCAATAATCATCTGGCGTCCCCCACAGGGGACCGACCCCTAATTTGCGTGCACCACTACTCTAGATGACCTACGGACAAATGTATAAGAATCATAGTTCGTTCCAGCTTATTAGCTTATCGTAGAAGTTGTTGGTGCACAAAACATCATACCTTAAAACGCTGGCCTGCGGTAATTGGTCAGCCAGCATAGTGACATCGAAATTTGCTGTTAAACCACACTACCCTGAATTTGTTTATTTCAAAAAGGTTTGTAATGAAATATTTCTTTTAGATATTCTAGTGACTTCGAGAGGTCATATTAGATTCACCGGGCGAGTAGATGAGCTCACGGGGCTCTAACCTGACCTTTGCTAACACTAGCCCTAGCAAGAGTAGTGCTTCGCTGAATCACTACTATTCACTGGCGGTAGGACCTCTTGGGAGTCCGCACGGGTAGGTACCACCACCCCGCCTCTTTCTGCCGTGAAGCAGTACTGCGTTCAGTACTTCGGTTCGAAGGGTGGGGTAGCCGTTGTAACTATACTGAGACCTTAGAACTTATGTCTCGAGGTGGGTGGCGCATTTGCGTTGTAGATGTCTATGGGCTCCAGTAACCACTTAACACCAGGTGGGCTGTGAGCTCGTCCAGCCATCGAAGCAATAAAAAAATAAATAAAAAAAGAATCTATCACCGGATCGGAAACGCGACCCACTGAGAAGATCCGACGAGAAACTGTGGGGAATGGGCTATGTCTGAGGGATGAAATGACATTGCATAATACACAACATACATACATAATTATTAAATATTCACTTACTATCAGCATCAAATATCTTGCCCAATATCTCTTTTGCTTCCAATAAATTGGTGCAGTCGCAGATTTTGTACAACTCCGAAATTACCACCGTGAGACCTAAAATTAGAAGTACGTTGAGTAAAATGACGTTGTGACACAACGGCACATCTTCAAACGAGTCTTCCGAAGAGTGCTCAGTGGTGGGCACCGGCTTGGCTCTGCCTCTGACGTCCAAAAGCTACGGTGACTCCATCAGATGGGCCGAAACTTGAAGGTTGAACATAATAAGGTACAAGGCCATAAAAGGTAAAATAGTACGTAAAAGACCCAATTTGGCTCTGGCATTATTGATGTCCATCATCGACAATCACTCACTCATGTCCACTCACCATCCTAGTGGCAATACTCATCTGCCTACTATGGCAATAAAAATACGTACGAACCAAAGATAACCCAAAAAAAAAATTTTACATAATTATAAGATTCAGCCCTTCCACCTTTACGGTATTTTAAGGGGTAGGTATGTCCTTCTTCCAAGTTTGATGAGAGTCCTTCTAGACAATGACCGCACCTTTGACAAAGGGTAACAAAATGTAGACAGAAAAAATAAAGAAACTGTTTTTTTTTTAATAGTAAAAATCACTTACTACTTCTATTATTGGATTCCAACAGCTCTTCGATAGCATATTTGAATACTGAAAACAAAATTAGTAATTAATAAAAAGTTAAAATTAATATGGATCCCTAATGTATGTGATTTAAATTGTAACCTAAAAAAAATGCGACGCAATTCATTATTAATTATCTTCAGTTTTCGCGAAGCGTTGACATGATTAAGTCGATTTTTAATATAGCAAAATCTGTCGGTAATCACATTTTTTCCCCAACCTATTCGCGAATAGCGTAAGAGACTATTCCAGCTACGCGCGGACGGATAGGTGAGCTCACGGGCTCAACCTCAGAGAATTTGCTAACACTAGCCCTAACAAGAGCAGTGCTTCGCAAAATCTACCACCACTGGATCGAAATCGCTACCCGCTGAGAAGATCCGGCGAGAAAGTCAGCGAGCTGATGCATGAGTTAGGTTGCTCGTCGAACTCTTTGCCGATTTCGACGAGTACGGTTACCGGGGTCCCTAAGTCTGCTCCTAGTCTTAGAGCTGAAGGGGTCTAGTACTGAGGTTAATGGATCTGTAAGGACGTGACTAAGCCGTCGACGGCGACTAGCCTTTGCGTGAGCAGTTATCGGGGAGTATATAAGTAAGAATATGTTATTATATCAGTTTCTTGTTTCCATTATACAGGGAACGCTAATTTGGAGCCAGGTATGTGTGACTGGTCTTTGTCCCTATTTCTTTATGTCCTTATTAAGTCCAAAAAAAAGGATTCGTCTCATAGAAACTTCATCAAAATTGGTTTGAGAAAAAACTGGAATAAAGCATTTAAAATTCAGGTTAACAAAATGAAGTGTTTTATTTTTAAATGTGATTTTAATTGGCGTTTCGCAAAAGTCTTTTTTTTTTATTCTATTATTTTAGGCAATGGCAAATAGTGGCTAACAACTTTCGTATTTTTTTTGTCTTACAATAATAAATATATACAATACACATCTAGCCGCATTAGGATAGAGATTTGGACAGAGGGTTAGAGAGTCGTAGGGCGTTTTTTATTTCTTAACATACCCTAACAACCTATTGTAGATTATCAAAAACTAAAAATAACAACTCACACGTTTGTTTCGTTACGAATTTCAAACGCAAAATGGCTTCAGAGAACGTCTTCGTCTGCATTATCTTGACGAATTTAAATATCGCTTCGCCGACGTCTGAAAAGATTGCCTAGATAACATTTTCGTTTCAATTAAACCCCACACGTTTGTTTGTAGTCGTCAAACACCGTTCCGTCATTGAAACGGGTTTTTTATGGTTTAGTTAGATGGATGGACGAGCTGATGTTGCGTGGTTACCGGAGCCCATAGACATTAACAACGTTAATACCGCCATCTATCTCGAGACATATTTGAAGTCGTCGTGGCCTAAAGGATAAGACGTCCGGTGCATTCGTATGTAACGATGCAACGGTGTTCGAACCCCACAGGCGGATACCAATTTTTCTAATAAAATACGTACTTAACAAATTTTCACTATTGACGTCCACGGTGAAGGAATAACATCGTGTAATAAATATTAAATCCGCAAAAATATAATTCGCGTAATTACTGGTAGTAGGACCTCTTTGCGCACCAACGCCCTGCCTATTTCTGCCGTGAAGCAGTAATGCGTTTCGGTTTGAAGGGCGGGGCAGCCGTTGTAATTATACTGAGACCTTAGAACTTATATCTCAAGGTGGGTGGCGCATTTGCGTTGTAGATGTCTATGGGTTTGGACTATGTTCTTCCATTCTTTCCTGTCCTCTACGTAGTGGATAGCGACATTTGCGTGGCGCCATAACAATAGGCGTGACTGCTACAGGTGTACCTAAGGTGGTTGGATCTTTTAACGTCACGGCACTACGTTGACAACAGTAACTTAATTTCTGTAGACTGCATCAGATATAGCAAAAGAAGTAGTCCACGAATTACACTCATTATGGTTACAAAATACATCTAATTTACAATTCGTAGTTAAACAAAACATACCTCCCGTTCTTGTGGCCGAAATCAAAGCGTTCAAAGCGCCTTTCATATCTGTGAAAAATGTATAATTTTAACTTACATTTGTAACTTAGAAGACGGCTTCAAGTAGGGTGAAGTGGAGTGCAACGCTAATTAAATAAATTGACAACTAATGTTTTAATGCTGCTTCTTTATATCAGCCCATAGACGTCCACTGCTGGCCTTGGTCCTTCCTACTAAAGCACTCTTCGACCCCGGCAGCTATCTCTTCTATGAGAAATTTGCCTTTCGTCTTCCGAATGTAAACTTCCATTCGTGTGGGCCTTATACGGATCCTCCTGATCCACTAACGGTGCTTTTAGGCACCACAAGCACCGGTCACCGTCCTCGTCGAACCCGTCGCTTGCGACGAAGGGCTCGACGAGCGAATTAGCCCATAGACACAGCCCACCGAGTTTCTCGCCGGATCTTCTCAGTGGGTCGGGTTTCCGATTCGGTGGTAGGTTCTGCGAATCACTGCTCTTGCTAGGGCCAGTGTTAGCAACTCTCCGGTTTGAGCCCCGCGAGCTCACCTACAAACATTAGGGTGAAACTGAAATAGCCTCTCAAGGCTATCAGCATAGGTAGGAAAAGTGGGCCTTAGTATGAACGCGCAAAAGGCGAAAACTACGTCAAATTGCTATTTAATCAGAATCAAAACGTCGCGAATCACGCATATCAACGCACCTTAACTTGAAACAATGTAGCGACATAAAAAAATTCCTTCTTTTGCACTCACCGACTTCTTGTTTTAACACGTACAGGACTCTGGGTAGCTCAGGAGATCCGATGCCACCACTCAACTTTTTGACTTCCACCTTCACACCATCTAAGCCTGAAATACCGGCTGATTGTAATTCGAGATTTTACTACTGACAGGTTTGTTTTAAACAACTCCTTGGCTATGGGCACGGAATAACTTTGTGGCGGTGGCGATTACAAGATATTTGACAGATGCTTGAATCTCGCTTACGATATTTTCAAGATAAGCTTGCATATATACAGTACAAGTACAATATCACCCGCTCAGTGGAAGATCTTCCCTTTATCGTCTAGCTACAAACTACAACTTAAAAAAAAACAGTGCGCGTGCAGCTTGGTGCACGTGAATGAAGTGATACTTCTTTTTCGACGTGTAGTATTGTGGTTTTCTTCATTTTTCATCTTTAAATCAGATTGCTCTTGTAATAGAGAATGCTGTGTATAAGAGATGCGACATGTTCAATATTTATATTATATATATTTTAAATTATAGATAGAAAATAAATATGAATATAATATATAGGTATATTTTTGGGTACTTCATTAAAATATTGGACGCCACTCGTCGCTAAGGCTCGCGCTGGCCTGTAACAATACTACTATATACTCGGCCTGCGAATAAAACGTACGATAGGGAAATGTATTAAAAAAAACCTCCATTAAAATACTTCTACCTGAATTATTGTCATTTAAGAACAATATTTACTTATAAATTAATTGAATTAATTACGCTTACCAGTAGTGTGCGCAACGTGCTTGAAATAATCGCAGATTTCATGAGCATCTGTAATCACAAACAAAACACTTTATCAACTTAAGGTTGAGACTGCTAAAGATTTATCGGACCTCGAAAATTTCACCTCACGTCTCAAGTTCAGTCATCCTCCTCCTTGCGTTATAAATCCTCAATGCTGAGGGTCGTGACCTCTGTGGGATTTCAGAATCGTCCGGCGGACTATATAACGCCACGTCGATCTGTCCATAGCGGCGTGGACCACTGGAGACAGGTCAAGGGCGGATCGGATCAAATAGGCATTTAGTCTAAGGACCCACTTGACACCAGGCGCAACCACCTGTGTAGATATACGGTCGAAGCTTCAATGTAACTATATTATCCTTAACCGGAATGTCCTATCTTCGCGCTATGTGGCCTACCCACTTCCACTTCAGCTGGCTAACTCTAAGAACTCATAGCAAACGTGATAAAAATCATAAACGTACTCTTCTCTCCTGAAATCTTCTGCAAGGTCTCAAAGATTCCGTCAAAATCAGCGTGTCCCGTCAGCGTCTTCAATATCTCGAAAGCGTTGAAAACATCTGAAATATACAAATTGAACGTTTAAGTCTCGATTAGCATTAGCACAATAAGTTCGCTGGGTACTTATTGTGTGGTAAAAGTCGCAGATATCTACTAGGGGCGAGCAGTGGGAGATCAGCTGCGGCGAATCGGGTAGGCATGCCGCGATAGCGATTACTGATTACTACAATTTAGCAGGTTAAGGACCGGAGTGGTCCCTGTGGGTGGATACTATAACTTTGCCAAAAGAAAATTAGCGTCCCTTGGGACCGCCGCAACTCACCTGCCTAGAATAAATAACCCTGACCGCAAGTTTTCTATTGAATATGTAAGTAACGCGGACCACCATGACTCATCTAGGCTTAGTTAGTAGCTATAGCATATTGAAAGGGAACTATTCGACAATACAATTGCATAATCAAAAACTAAAAGTAGGAATAGCTTATTTGAGTAATTCTTTATCCATTTATGCATTTAATTACTTTAGGCAAAAATCGCTAAAAAATCTCGATCCTTAACCTGTTAAATATCTAAATAACTAACGCTTCGGTTTTTTTGTAAATATTTTATCTCAGTTACAATTAAAACAAATACTACAACGTATGGTAACTGCGTACCAGTTATAATAGGCAGGGCGATGATGACGAACCACAACTGGGATTAAAGTAGGCAAAGAAATTTTTGTAAAATTTTATCCGGCTTTCATAATTAAAATTACTTTTACGATTTGATCTCGTCTTTTCTATTGTCATGAAATATTTTTTGGTGACCTTTCCAATTCTTTACGGTTTTCGTGGCCGCGGTCGACCGAGTCGTATTTATTCGTCGACATTTCAATGTTACTGTCAATTAAATTAATTGGACGGTAGTTATCAATATTACATTGACAATAATAGACGCGAGATAAAACCGTACAAAGTAGTTTGAAGTTAAAGAAATCTTATGAAGACTTAACAATAAGTCGACCGCGCGTTCTCGTTTGCATAATAAATATTTAATTATATAAAAATGAATTGCTGTTCGTAAGTCTGAACGGCTGAATCGATTTGGCTAATTTTGGTCTTGAATTATTTGTGGAATTCCAGAGAAGGTCTAAAAGGTCTAAAATATGAAAATGCTCGGAATTAAATAAGAAAAACAATTTTGTTTTTCCTTTGATGTGACCCCCGTCGGACGGATTCCTTTTGTTTGTTTTAAGTTTATTTTATACAAAAGTTTAAGTCTTTTATTTATCGATTGAAGCACTACGAAGTCTGCCGGGTCAGCTACTATGAAATATAAACAAACTCACTGTCTTCATTCGTCAACTGCTTTAATATTTCGACAATAACTCTGACATCTGTAATAGGAGAAACATTTTTATATTAATAAGAAAGACATCTTTGACAAGCGTTCTTCGAAAAAGGAGCGTTTAATAAAGCTCATAACGGCAATACAAAAAAGCAAGAAACATCTCGGATCCTCCAGATCCACTCTTAGTGCTTTTAGACTCTCTAAGCTCTGGTCACCGTTCTCGTGCAATCTGGCCCTTAAGCACAAGCCACTGAGTATCTCGCCAGATCTTCTCAGTGGATCGCGATTTCGATAAAGGTGGTAAATTCAGCGGAGCACTGATCTTATGTTAGCAAACTCAGATTGAGTTCCGTGACCTATCCATCCTCGTGTAGCTTGAATAGTCTCTTAGGCTACCAAGGATTAGATAGGGGTTTTTTTGCTCAACAGACTAAGAGCCCGAACATAGTTCTAAATTTGTTTAGGTTTTTCTAAGGTTTTCTTGAAATTCCTAGCGCAATTTAGGTTTTTGTCATAGTATGCTGATGCTACAACTTACTAGATGTATCTTCTAACAGATCCAAGAAGTCTATCACGAACTTCCAGCTCCTCGATCCTCTGCATCTTCGGATGAACTCGTGAATCTGATCTCGGTCTGTAAAAATAATAATTAATACGTTTTATTTTATTTAAATATGCAATAAAAATGTTTTTCAGGATATTATTAAAATATAAGTATATATATAACTATTGATACGCTTTTTTTTACAATAAAATCATTTTTCCTTACACTATTTTTAATTCAAATTTATTCAAATTTATTTTCTATTTTTTAGTTGGATCTTCTATAAAAGCGTATTTTTTTAGTTTTTTTAAACTATATTTTTTTTGTATTTAATTCAGATTCCCCACTCATAGCTGAAGAAGGTCTTTCGTGTTATAACTATTTTTTTTTTAAATTGCTTAAACTTAAATGTCTCTTCTGTAAAGTTGCAAAAATGTCGGTTAACCCCAAATAGTCTTTCAGTCCTCGATTATAAATACTATTAACTAACGCGGCGATGCGTCGCCACGTCAGCAATCGGTTTTACGTGCCGCTATAGATGTTGCAAACCATGAAATTCTCTCACCTTTGAGTCCGGTTAAGTTTTCTATGTATTTGATGGCGGCTGCCTCGTCTGAAATGAAAAAAAAACACGTGTAACACTCGGGGACTGCTGCGGTAAAGCTATTACATAGCATTTTTTATCAACTTATGCAATTCTAATTAGACAATAATAATTTAATATGAAAACAAAAATTAAATAAGACCACGCTATATTTATAAACATTAAAAAAAGCAAAACATTAACTGTCCCCTTCCCACTCATAACCTAAACCGCGCGTGAGAGATATGGGCAGACTTTTGACGATGCGCATGCTGTGCGACGTCACGCCGCGCTTAATCACAAACACTACACAAGCGTAACGTGTGAATATGTTGAGCGCGAGCTACATGGTAGGCGGAGTGGGTGGTGTTAGGTTTTATTTTCGTTACGGAATTTCTTGATTCGGTCGCCGCGCTCAAAGCCCGCGATAAAAGCTATGCAATAGCTTTACATAAAACTTAAAGTTATAAGATTACGTGATTAAATTTCAGCTCGTTCCTAAGAACAAATTCAGATATACCTATCGGAAGTTGCATATTTCGTGGCGTGCATTTTTGCATTAGTAAAACACCTTAATTCGAAAACGGGTGAACGAAATCGCGTCCCAGCCGATGTTAAGAGGTTACCGAATAGGATAGATATCACAACTTGATTATTGGCTCATTGCGGAAGTCATTTGTGAAGCGAGTTAAAATCGTATAACGATATAAAATATCCTAAAAACTTTTGAACAATAATACTCGTAATATACTTCATTACGTATTCTGTACAATATTGTTACGCCGGCAAGAGTAACGCTATCTACTAGCCGAATATTCGAACGAATATCGAAGGATCTAGTAGCATCTAGAACGCTCGGGAAGTACAACGCCATCTATTGTCAGATAGCAGAAACACACATCGCAGCTACTCGACTTGCCCAGAATGTTCTCAATAAATCTAGGGATATCGTATCGACTATTCTCGAGCGTTCTCGGTGTTCCTAGTTCCTTTGATATTCGTCTCTGCTATTCGGCGATAGATAGCGTTACTCTTACCGGCGTAACAATATAAAAATTACATATATAAGTTTTTTCTTTACATACGTATTTCATTTTTTTTTTTAAATCTGCCTGCGAGATTCGAGCACCAGCGCAGTGGCATCTCTTGAAACGAATGCATCGGCCGGTTATAAATTTTAGATCGAGATGAATTCGAACATCGACTTACTTGCTTACTTCAGAATTTCTCTGTTTTCATGTATTTTTAGTCGACTACAGATGTAGCATATTAATATAACTAGATTTTTTGTTTTATAACGCCATCTTGTTGTGTCTTTAAAGCAATAAAAATAGTATTATTACTCGCCAATAGATGTCGGGAAGAGCCATAAAGTTGATTATCAATAAAGTTGATTATTGAAAACACGAATAAAACAACATTTTCTGAACATAAATCGTAGCTAGATCGATTTATCGCCCCCGAAATCCCCTGTGTACTAAATTCTATGAAAATCGTTGGAGCCGTTTCCGAGATATATACAAGAATTGCTCGTTTAAAGGTATAAGATAGCCCAGGGGCGATATTTTTATTCGAGTTTCATATTCATAATTGCAAAATGAATACTAACTGCATTTTTCATGTATTTTTAGCCGACTTCAGAAGTAGCCTATGAATAGGGAAGATCTTTTTATTCGAGTTTCACATTCGTAATTGCAAAATAGATACTAATTGCATTTTTCATACATTTTTAGCCGACTTCAGAAGTAGCCTATGAATAGGGAAGATTTTTTATTAGAGATTCATATTCGTAATTGCAAAGTAAATACTAACTGCATTTTTCATGTATTTTTAGCCGACTTCAGAAGTAGCCTATGCATAGGGGCGATTTTTTTATTCGGGTTCCATATTCGTAATTGCAGAGTAAATACTAACTGCACACGTAGGCGTCAACTATGTTTTATTATTTTTCCTACAATTTCCTATTTGTACAAATGGTACTGAAACGCGTCGACCTCGTGACAACAATGTCAACTGTTTAAATAATTATTAATATAATAATTAAGCTCATTTCGCACTTAATGTTTCTCATGTTATCATTTTTAAATAATTGCGCAGTTACTTTAATGGAGTTACAAAATTAAAGTAATTTCGCTGGGATATATCAATTTGTTTTTTTTAGCTTTTTCGTCCTTTTTTATGATTGAAGGATTATTGGTGGCCCGGAGGCCTTTCCAGTTTCACCAGGACAGGTGGGTGAGCAAAGGCTCAGTCAGGAGAGGCGGGATTTGCTAACAGCTGCCCGAGCGCCTCCGAAAGAGACCTAACAACTCAAGAGCAGCTGCTTCACGAATGAATCTACAACCGTATCGGAAACGCGACCCTCTGAGAAGATCCGGCAAGAAACTCAGCGGGCTGATGCATGGGTTAGGTTGCACGTCGACCTCTTTGTCGAATTCGACGAGTACAGTTACCGCACTTTTTCGTCCCTGTTGACTTTGTCAAAAGATGGCGGGGTGCTGTGTTCAGATCCGTACTTAACCTCATATCAAAAATGATTGTAACGATAAATGAATAACTTCTTCTACTTCTCCACCTTATATCCCACTAGGTGAGGTCGGCACAGCGGATTTTTCTATTCCATTATCTTCTATCTGCCGCAATCTCAACACTCACTCCTCTCTCTCATATCGTCATTCACACACTCCATCCATGTTTTCTTCGGTCGACCTCCTCTCCCCCCTACCTTGCACTACCATTTCCATACATCTCGTAGTCACATGCATCTTCTCTCTACGCATCACAAGTCCATGCCACGCTAACCGACCGCTCTACACAGCGATGAAGGAATAACATCGTGTAATAAAAAATATGAGCCATCGCCGGAAGGCTGTCAGATGTGAAGCATTGATATTATTTTGTACAGATATACGAAAGGAATAATGAAAATGTGGCATAATGAAAAATAACATATTAATTATTAATAAACAGTCGTTGCGCATGGCAACGTATCGCCACGCCAGCAATCGGTTTTACGTGCGGCTATATTGCTCGTTTACAATATCTCTGACCCTCGCTGGAAAGTGAAAACCCTCCCCGTTGGGGTTGTAGATGTTTCATACCAAAATTAAATCCGCAAAAATTGTAATCATAGGTAATTTGCGTTATTAATGTCAAATATGCGGGCTCTCCTGTAAAGGCGGTAGGCAGCGGCTTGGCTCTTGGGTTAGGTTGCACGTCCAACTCTTTGATGAGTTCGGCGAGTACGGTTACCGGGGTCCCTAAGCCTGCTCCTAGTGTTAGAGCTGAAGGCGTCTAATGCAAAGGTTATTGGATCTGATGGATCCGTAAGGACGTGTCTAGGGCGTCGACGGTGACTGGCTCCTGCGTGATCAGGATTCAGGGAGTAGTCAGCGGCGGCAACGATATGTGGAATTTGTGATACGCATTCATACGAAAACTACATATATACGGAAATAACCCAAAATTGAATATATGTAGATGAGTTTCGAAGATCGAAATTTGCATACAATTAACAGACGTAATTATTTTATCTCAAAATTTTTTCTCGAAACTGTTTACATGTAAAATACGATACATGTACACGATAGGACATTAATAAGATACGACACGACATTGTCACGATACGATATACAAACGATAAGATGTACAAGCGACACGATATGGATCTCTGTTTACTTGAATTAGTGGTCCCCCAGGAGCCGAAATTCGACTATGATTAATTGAAATTTTAAGTTTGCACATTATTATGGTTCTATTGTCAAAGATTGTTAGACTTACATAATCACAGATTTCGCCAAGGTTACACTATAGACAAATATTATTAAAACACACACAATATTAATCTTTTTTATTTATTTTTTGCTTAGTTGGATGGACGAGCTCACAGCCCACCTGTTGTTAAGTGGTAACTGAAGCCCATAGACATCTACAACGTAAATGCGCCACCCACCCTGAGATATAAGTTCTACGGTCTCAGTATAGCTACAACGGCTGCCCCACCCTTCAAACCAAAAAGCATTACTGCTTCACGGCAGAAATAGGCAGAGTGGTGGTACCTACCCGTGTGGACTCACAAGAGGTCCTACGACCAGTAATTTAGGCAAATTATAATTTTGCGGGTTTGATTTTTATCACACGATGTTATTATTCCTTCACTGTGGAAGTCAATCGTGAACATTTGTTAATTATGTACGTATTTCATTAGAAAAATTAGTACCTGCCGACGGGTTTCGAACACCGTTGCATCGCTCGATACGAATGCACCGGACGTCTTATCCTTAGGCCACGACTGTTATAAAGTTATTAACTTATTAAAAACGTTATACGCGCGCTAAGACACGTCCGTGGTCGATGTCTAATAATAGTAATCAAACTGCGCAAGCAGTCGATATCCCGATGCTACACTTTATACACATTAATACAGAGTCGATATATCGACGGTTCGCACTCAAAATTTAACCATTGTTTTGATAGAGCCCACGAGACGCGAGAACCGTACAAAATACAAATAAGTCACTCACTTCTAAGACCCGTTAAGTCATACAGTAGTTCACTGCTTTCCTTATGGCCTGTGGGAAAAAAAAAACAATAAATTAACAACAAGATAATTGAACGTGAATACAGTAAAAGATCCTTATTTGCGCTTCTTTCCTTCGCGTTTTTAAAAAAACTAGTGGTCCCTCGGTACATATTCGAAATTCGACTATAATTAATTGAAATTATATGTTGGTACACTATTATGATTCTATTGTAAAAACTATTATACTTCTATAATCACATATTTCGGCAAGAATAAATACACTTTAGGCAAATATTAATAAAGAGAAACAATATTTAATCTATTCTCAATTTAACCACAGATTATAATCAATTAGAAAAGTTTGACAATAAACAAATAGTATGTATACATGTGTGTGTCAAGTACATGGTAGTGTGTGTATTTTTCTAATTATTGTTTATGCATAATTTAAAAAATATATATTAACATTCTGCACTCCTTCACTATATTCTCGATAAGTGTGAGAAATTTCATACTCCTCCGTCTGCGCAATTTTCGTAAAAAGGGGTACAAAGTTTTTGCTTCGCGTATTAATACATAGATAGTAGTACCATTTGATGCGAATATTAAAAATATATATAAAAGCGGTCGATTTTTCAAAAACCTACTCCGCTCATCAAAAGCGGGAGGGCGTATATAAAATTGTAATAGAGAATGTTGTTTTACCTTTAATTCCAATTATGTTCCTGAGTTTTTCAGAAATGAACTCTTCTTTCCCTGTAAAGTAATATTTTTCGATCAGTTATTGTTCATACACGCTATGATTAGTTTGACATTTATTTATGTTTGTACGTAATGAGTATATCAGAAGAAGTGTGAAAGTAGCCCCGGTAATCAACAAATTAAAGAGTGGACGGTTAGCGTGGTATGGACATGTGATGTGTAGAGAGAAGATGCATGTGACTAGGAGATGTATGGAAATGGTAGTGCAAGATATAGAGGGAAGAGGTCGACCGAAGAAGACATGGATGGAGTGTGTGAATAACGACATGAGAGAGAGAGGAGTAAGTGTTGAGATGAAACGAGATGAAACTCGCAAAATACCCGAAGTTGGTTAAATATGCAGATTTAAAAAAAAAACTGCCTACAATAACGTATTCCAATTTGAAGAATTGGATAGAGGTTTCCATAAGCTTTGGTAACCACTTAACATTACCTATACCAAAGCCAGCTCGTTCACTCATCCAGTACCATATTAAGTAAATACAGTCCTAGCATAATTTACACATTCTAAGTTTTTTTTTTTTTGTTGTTACTTAGTTGGGTGGACGAGCTCACTCAGGTGTTAAGTGGTTACTGGAGCCCATAGATATCTATAACGTAAATGCGCCACCCACCTTGAGGTATAAGATCTAAGGTCTCAGTACAGTTACAACGGCTGCCCCACCCTTCAGGCCGAAACGCATTACTGCTTCACGGCAGAAATAGGCGGAGTGGTGGTACCTACCCGTGCGGAATCACAAGAGGTCCTACCACCAGTAAATTGTTGATTAACTATAAAAACGAGAGAGGCTAGAACTTACCTAGACTCTCTTTCCGCTTTTTCTCTTTCTCCCTCTTTTTGTCGGGACTGAAGCCGCTGAAGAGGCCATCGAAAATGTTCGTTTTAAAGTTGAATCCGAGCAGCCCCGACTTCGCCTCCGTGGTCGTGCTCACATCTTCGTGGGATTCTGCGCTTTCCTCCTTCGATTCCTCAGAGCTGCCACTTTGAATTTTAATATCGGCACCCGCACTGGATTCGTCTGAATGATTTTCGGTATGCTCTTCAGAATGCCGGCTTCGGCTGTGTTCGGATTTATACTCAGCGTCGATCTTGCTTTTCCGGGATTCGATGGTTGATGCATCACCTGTGTGCGCTTCCGTATGAGCTGTTGGAGGTGATTTTCGTTGATAATATTGAGTGTAAGATGTTACAAATCGTTTATACCTATAGATAACACAGACAACGATGCGTTATTGATACTAGTGGTCGCCCGGTAGTTGAAACTCGACTATAATTTATTGAAATTATAAGTTTGTACACTATTATAATTCTATTGTCAAATACTATTATTATAGTTCTTTAATCACAGATTTCACCAAGACTACACTTTAGACAAATATTATTAAAGGTAAACAATATTAATCTATTGTCACTTTGACCACAGACTTTAAACAATAAGAAAAGTTTGACAATAAACAAATAGTATGCGTGCGTGTGTGTGTGTAATGTTTTTATTTATTTATTGTTTTATTGTATTTTTTAAGCATAATTAGAAAAAAATTATAATATTCTGCACTCCTTCTCTATATTCTCTATAAGTGTGGAAAATTTCATACTCTTCCGTCCGCGCAATTTTCGTAAAAAGGGGTAGTTTTTGGTTTCACGTATTATTATATAGATGTTTGCAAATAACAGTCGGTACTATGTTACTGTGTTTCAACATAATGAAGGAGGTAGACAGATTTGTTTGCTTTTAGCGTCCTACCCGCAAACCACGACTGTCTAACGAGGAGACCGCTTAATAATAGTGTTTCTAAACAATAAAAAAATTAGGCCTATTTCTCCCGTGAAGCTACTGGTTTCAAACCTAAGCGCATAGTAACGCGGTTCGGTTCGAGAAAATCTACAATTTTCAAAGCCTATCTTGAAGCGATTTGGGTATTTCTTGTTATTCTTCTTATACTGTGCCGCCGCGCACCAGCCGGCCGGCGCCTTGTACATCAATACGTAATAACGCGCTTGATCATTATTTTGCTGCGATGTTATTTTAAAACTGCGATATCTTCTAAGATACTCATTGAAATCATAGGATGTAAAGGGCATATTAAAAAAAATATACTTGTAATGTAATGAATAATGTATTTATTTCGATAACGATTAATATCATCGTTGTAAAAACACAAATAATTCTTTATGTTAAAACAAATTTGGTTGGCAAGACAAAGGTGACTAGTAAGCCAACCTCAAAATATAGACGTATGCTGTCGCGGACTTTTTTAAAGAGGAACTATTCTGTCATACTTTATTTTAGCGAAAATTTTACCATTTTCCCAGCGCACGCAGCGTAAGCTCTCAAAAGGAAAAAAAACGCGATTTTGAAACTCAATAAACGGACAATCTAACTTAATAGGAATTTTTCAAATCAGACCAGTACTTCCTGAGATTAACGCGTTCAACCAAACAAACAAACAAACTCTTCAGCTTTATAATATTAGTATAGATATAGATAGAAATTTGAAGATAGCACAATATTCGACGAAGAAGAACACCAAAATATATAATATAGCGAATCTGCATGACGAATTTAAAGTCATGACGATTGAAATAGAAACTTTTTGAAAGTAGTTCTTATTCGTTTCTCGGGCCGCGTTTCTAAATATGTAATAATAAAAAATACATACACACCTTTATGATTGTTATCAAGTCTTTCAACTTTTACTTTATGTAGTAAGTTCCCTAAAATAAAATAAAAAACAATTTGTAATAATTTATCATTCTAAACTATAATTTATTACTTCTGTTACATATTGTATTCGTATTTAATTACTCACGTGAAGGTTCGGTGACTACTGTAGCGAGAATCTGAAACAATAACATACTTAAAATTTAAAATTTAAAAAAATACATCCTGCAAAGTTTTGCGTTTCATTTTACATCAACAAGTAAATACAATGCAGTCAATCATCCAATGAAGTTGAAGTCAGTGATGATCCTTTCTTATTTTCATCTTTATGAAGATAAAAAGAACAGTTGAATACAGCAAGTCAAGAAAGCTGTAAAGCGTAGAAAAAAAAGAATTGTGATAATGGAATAAAATCCTATGTTGAAACAATTTCGACAATTCTTTTTAAGCTATTGCATAACTTGTATCGCGGGCTTTAAGCGCGGCGACCGAATCAAGAAATTCCGTAACGAAAATAAAACCTAACACCCCCACTACGCCTACCATGTAGCTCGCGCTCAACACATTCACACGTTGCGCTTGTGTAGTGTTTGCGGATAAGCGCGCGGCGTGACGTCGCACAGCATACGCATCATGAAAAGTCTGCCCATCTCTCTCTCGTGCTGTCTAGCTTATAATTGTGAAGAGGACAGTTAATATTTTGCTATTGTTAATGTTTATAAATATAGCGTGGTCTTATTTTATTATTGTTTGAATATTAAATTATTATTGTCTAATTATAATTGCATTAGTTGATAATAAAATGCTATACTATTGCATTGCTATTGCTTTACCGCGGCAGTCGCCGAGTGCCACACGTTTTTTTATTATTATTTAAAACCAGGTTACTTCTCGTGTGGTCCCCTTTAAATGTTATCAAGATCGCACTAATTATTTTTGAGTTATTCTTACCAAAGCACATTAATTGAGTTAGGTTACATTGATGACGTTCTTATTTTCTTTTTTTGAAGACGCTTTACTTTTTTTTTTGTATTATTGGAACGAAATTCCTTATGGGACGATGAGAAGGGGTACCCTAAGCGAGAAAAAACGTCCGTAACGTAAGATTTTATGTTTGTTACCTCATAACTTTTGACTAGGTGAATCGATTTTGATGATTCTTTTTTATTAGAAAGCTGACGCTTTCCCTGTGGTCTCACTTTAATTTAGTCCAGTTCTGATAGTGGTATCCATGAGAAAACCATATAAGCCTTAAATTTGCATTAACTACGTGCGCGACAAATAGATAAATAACTCAATAACTTAATATCACGCCAACCAATTTGGATGATTATTGTTTTCAGTGTATTGTTTTGGAATATCTTTATTTATTTATTTTTATCAAATAATTATTTTCTTTATACCTCGAATATAACTTAAAATTAATACTTTTATAATAAGGAACCGTTCCTATCCGGTGTCCCAAGACAACACACATCTTTTATTATTATTACAACTCCTAAAAACCTATTAATACATTGAACCGACTGATTGCCTGAAACCTTTACAGGATATCGTTGACAGTTCGAATTGAGCGCTTAATTTGGATAATACAAAGATGTCGTCACGGAAATTGACGTTTCTCTTGCTAGTTTCTGGTTGAATAAAACTGTTTAACAAACTACCTTCGAAAAATGAAACTACGCACTCTTAAAAGAGATGGGCTCATAATGATACATACACATGTGGAGTTCAAACGAACCTATGACGCCCACGGTACGCGAATCGACTGCGGATCTGCGACCATTTCAGACCATGTGACCATGAAATCTGGACGTAAGTTAATTCAAACAACTCGACGCTTAAGAACGACTAACTGCGAACAACTAAACTAACTAACGTCACAGCGCACGTCAGTAATCAAATTTTAAATTTCGAAATAAATTCGATTTTAGAACGTCTTCCTTTCAGAAGCTTGTGTATAACAGCATGTTGAGTAAGCACTTACGTCACAGCGTACGTCAGTAATCAATTTTTTTTTAATACATTCGGTTTTAGAAAAATCTCCTTTTCTGTGGCTTATGTGTAACAGTATGTGGACTAAGCACTCACGTCGCAATGTACGTCAGTAATCAAATTTTAAATAAATTCGATTTTAGGACTTAACCTATTCAGTGACTTGTGCGTGTGCGCTTAGAACTAACGTCACATCGCAAACCCGTAATCAAATTTCAAATAAATTCGATTTTAGAACATTCTCTACTCAGTGATTTGTGCGTGTGGCCTCAGCACTTACACATGTGACAGCGCACGTCAGTAATCAATTTTTAATTTTTTTATTTGTTATAAACATCTCTTATTTTGTAATTTGTGTGTAGCAACGTGTGCAATAAGCACTGACGTCACTGTGCATGTCAGTAATCAAATTTTAAATTTTTACAAAGTTTCGAATTCAGAAGGTCTTCTATGCAGTTATTAGTGTATGACGGCGTACGCACTAAGCTCTAAACTAATTACTTACACTCGCCAGCACTATCACCCACAACAAACAGCACGTCTTCGCTGTCATGTTCGCACTTTACTAGTGGTCAGACAATATCTGTATCCACTAAGCCATAATAGTAGTTAAAAACATTTATATAATGTACTAAATAAACAAAGAACAGCTGTTCAAATTTTTCGTGTGTATTTATCGCGAAAAACCATACTTAATTGAAATGATCTGATTGGCTGATTTCTGTCGAAGAACGTGACGTCATCGGTCAAATAATCTAAATGGCCGCTTTGGTGGAAAGAGGCGAATGACCTTGGATTCGGAGGAGTCCTTCCTTTTAGTTTGAAACTTCTTAATTTTCATACTAACCTAATGGACTCCTCCCTTTTAGAAAGAGATATTCAATCTACATATATCCTGTAAAAGCGAACCTAGAAATGTTAAAATTAATTTATGGCGAGCTACGAGACGAACCTGTGTCTGTTTGTGTACGAGAAGAGCTCTGGACCAGTACAGAGCTGCAGAGGACTGTGTCTATAGTAGTGTGGTATAGGACCCTCGGCTAGATGTAGGTCGGATCTGTGTCTGTTTGTGGACGAGAAGAGCTCGGGATCAGTACAGAGCCGCAGGGGACTGTCTATAATAGTGTGATATAGGACCCTCGGCTAGACGTAGGTCGGATCTGTGACTGTTTGTGTACGAGAAGAGCTCGGGATCAGTACAGAGCTGCAGAGGACTGTGTCTATAGTAGTGTTGTATAGGACCCTCGGCTAGATGTAGGTCGGATCTGTGACTGTTTGTGTACGAGAAGAGCTCGGGGTCAGTACAGAGCCGCAGAGGACTGTGTCTATAGTAGTGTTGTATAGGACCCTCGGCTAGATGTAGGTCGGATCTGTGTCTGTTTGTGTACGAGAAGAGCTCGGGATCAGTACAGAGCTGCAGAGGACTGTGTCTATAGTAGTGTTGTATAGGACCCTCGGCTAGATGTAGGTCGGATCTGTGACTGTTTGTGTACGAGAAGAGCTCGGGATCAGTACAGAGCTGCAGAGGACTGGGTCTATAGTAGTGTGGTATAAAACCCTCGGCTAGATGTTGGTCGGATCTGCGTCTGTTTGTGTACGAGAAGAGCTCGGGATCAGTACAGAGCTGCAGAGGACTGGGTCTATAGTAGTGTGGTATAAAACCCTCGGCTAGATGTTGGTCGGATCTGCGTCTGTTTGTGTACGAGAAGAGCTCGGGATCAGTACAGAGCTGCAGAGGACTGAGTCTATAGTAGTGTGGTATAAAACCCTCGGCTAGATGTTGGTCGGATCTGTGTCTGTTTGTGTACGAGAAGAGCTCGGGATCAGTACAGAGCTGCAGAGGACTGTGTCTATAGTAGTGTGGTATAAGCCCCTTGGCTTTTTTTTATTGCCTTTGTAGGCAGACGAGCATACCGCCCACCTGATGGTAAGTGGTCACCGTCGCTCATTGACGTAAGCAATACCGGGGGCAGAGCCAAGCAGCTGCCTACCAAGCTGCTTCCTACCAGTGGCTTGGCTAGATGTAGTTCGGATCTGTGTCTGTTTGTGCACGAGAAGAGCTCGGGATCAGTACAGAGCTGCAGAGGGCTATATGCCTATAGTAGTGTGATATAAGATTAGAATCTGGCCGTTGGTCGGATTTCAAATTGAAGAAAGCTGTGTATCGCTTGAACTTTTGAGTATGCGTAAAGATGCAGCGAAATTGCATAACACCAGTACGCTTATTAATACCAAGTAATTGTACATTATTTGCAATTCGATTGCTGTTATCTTCATAAAATCGGTCACGTATTGATAGCTAGTTAACAGAACTGTTTGAACAGATGTACGTAATTAATTGTTTTGTTTGAGCTTATTTGTATGTGGATTGTGACGTCATGTCTGCTATTAAAATAATTAAATTAACTTTGAGAGGATCCGAGGGATAAAATTACAGGAAATCGTCGAAGCGAAGTCGAAATGAGATCTTATATGCGTTTTGTTATTGAAAAGCTTTAGAGGTTTTCAACCGGCTTCAAAAAAGGAGGAGGTTCTCAATTCGACTGTATTTTTTTTAATGTTTGTTACCTCATATCTTTTGACTGGGTGAATCGATTTTGATGATTCTTCTTTTATTAGAAAGCTGACGCTTCTCGTGTGGTCTTATTTCAATTTAGTCCAGTTCGGATAATGGTATCCATGAGAAAACCATATAAGTCTTAAATTTGCATTAAGTACGTGCGCATCAAATAGATGAATAACTCAATAACTCAATATCACGCTAACCAATTTCGATGATTATTGTTTTTAGTGTATATTAATTTGTTTTGGAATATCGTTTTTTTTTCTATTTGAAGTCGGTTTTTGTTAAAGCATGTCTATTTACAATTTTTTTAATACACTTACTACACTGCGCCAGAGTGCGAGAGGGTCTTGTTCGCGGATTTTATTTTGGGTCGCGCCCAAAAGCTCCCTCGAGGTACCCTAGCTGAGGGCACGTAGGGTATGTACAATTTCCAAGATGCCAAAGGTCATCTACTGAACGATTTCGCTGCATGTTCCGATGGTAAATCAATGACGTCTACTGGAGTTCCGAAATACCTCGCTGGATCAGAAAGAGCTTCCCGGGTCGTAACGCCATACACCACTAGCCAGTTGCGGCTGTCTCAAAGGGAAAGGCTCACCTCGTGCTAGTTCGGCGACGAGGATACGACGCTGTCCTTCCCAAGCAGAGAGGCCACAAGCGTGTGCTCCGCCTTGTCCTTATTGCTGCCACAATGGTGTTAGTCCATCGTCGGCTCCCTTCTGGCGGCTCCCCTGATTGGAGTCTCCAGGTTCGAGTTTCTCCCACGCTAACGGTTAAAAATTGGATTTATAAGACGTTAATTTACTGGTGGTAGGACCTCTTGTGAGTCCACACGGGTACGTACCACCGCCTTGGCTATTTTTGCCGTGAAGCAGAAATGCGTTTCGGTTTAAAGAATGGGGCAACCGTTGTAACTATATTGAGACCTTAGAACTCATATCTCAAGATGGGTGGCGGCATTTACGTTGTAGATGTCTATGGGATCTGATAACCACTTAACACCAGGTGGGCTGTGAGCTCATCCACCCCTCTTAGCAATAATAAAAGCTCAAAGAAAGAAAATATCTCATTTATATCGCGTTACAAATAATAACCTTTTTAATAATAAGCAATACGATCACTATTATTACACATGCCCACGCGTTATTACTCAATTTATTACATTGAAACATGCAGCTAAAATAAATAAACAATAATACATACAGTGTGCTCTTTTTAGAAGTATTACTTAATCAGGTTTGTTTTTGGTAAGACTGCTTTTATTGCTTAGATGGGTGGATGAACTTGCGGCCCACCTGGTATTAAATGGTCACCGGAGTCCATGAACATCAACCTTGAGACATGAGTGAGTTACGGCATTACTGCTTCACGGCAGAAACAGGCAGAGCGGTGGTACCTACCCGTGCAGGTTCATATGACGTCATAGCACCAATAAAAAAATGTGAACACGTGTAGTGATAATACATATTGTCAGGATTTATACTTCGAAGCATTTTTTTTTTATTGCTTAGGTGAGTGGACGAGCTCACAGCCCACCCGGTGTTAAGTGGTTACTGGAGCCCATAGACATCTACAACGTAAACGCGCCACACACCTTGAGATATAGTTCTAAGGTCTCAGTATTGTCACAACGGCTGCCCCACCCTTCAAACCGAAACGCATTACTGCTTCACGGCAGAAATAGGCGGGGCGGTGGTACCTACCCGCGCGGACTCACAAGAGGTCCTACCACCAGTAACTACGCAAATTATAATTTTGCGGGTTTGATTTTTATTACACGATGTTATTCCTTCACCGTGGAAGTCAATCGTGAACATTCATTTTGTTAAGTACGTATTTCATTAGAAAAATTGGTACCCGCCTGCGGGATTCGAACACCGGTGCATCGCTCGATACGAATGCACCGGAAGTCTTATCCTTTAGGCCACGACGACTTTTATCAAATAGGTCGTGATAATACATTTTGTCAGGATTTATACTTCGAAGCATCTATCAAATAGGTCGTGACTTCACCTAGTCCAATAAAATAACATCGTATATATTTCGCTTAACCTGTACTACCTAATATTTGCATCAATTTGGTACTGAGATGTCGATCGGAACTATCATGATAGGCATCATAATAGAGGTAGGTATCTTTAAAACATCCTACACATAAAGACGTATTTAATAAATATTCACGATTGACTTCCACGGTGAAGGAATAACATCGTGTAATAAAAAAATCAAACCCGCAAAATTATAATTTGCCTAATTACTGATGGTAGGACCTCTTGTGAGTCCGCACGGGTATGTACCACAGCCCTGCTTATTTCTGCCGTGAAGCAGTAATGCGTTTCGGTTTTAAGGGCGGGGTGGCCGTTGTGACTATACTGAGGCCTTAGAACTCATATCTCAAGGTGAGTGGCGGCATTTACGCTGTAGATGTCAATGGGCTCCGGTAACCACTTAACACCGGGTGGGCCGTGAGCTCATCCACCCACCTAAGCAATGAAAAATAAAATAAATATATTTACATTTTAATTGAACGACATTCAAATGTTTTTGTTAGAACAGTTGCATAATAACTCATCCACTATCTTAGTTGATGCATCAGTGATACAATAGTGTTATATTTAGTTAGTGTAACGCAAATTAAAAGCAAATGATGTTGTCATATCGCACTTATTCAATAACAAAACCATTTACTAATGTGTCTACGATATTAATAAATCACTTAGTCATAAACAACGAATAGAAAAAACGTAGCCAAAATACAACATTATAATTGTCAATTACGATAGAATAGACGTTTAATCATTTAAATAAATTTAGTTAGTATTGGTTTATCAAAAATCAATGTGTTATCTTAACGAATGTTTTGAAACAAATGTCCAACGAAACAGGCTTATCATGGTGCGCCGCTTTTTTGGAGTAGCGCTCTGACGCTTTCGTTAAATACTTACATATTTATTTATCGGTTCGAATTTTGAGGTCGTCCTAAAGATATACAATCCTCACATACCACGGTACTCCGACGGCT